CTTTTCATTTTTTCCACCTACATAGTATGATTTCCACACTACACACCTTTGTGAGTCGATCCAAGGTCGAATGAGATCCACTATGGAAATTGAACTTGATGACATGAGATCAGCTGCATTGAGTCTTCTAGTGTCTGTATCCAAGAAATTCCGTAAACACTATATTCGAAGAGGAATTTTTCACGAAGGGTGCATAAACCTATTCGAAATTTAAAATTTCCCTATTCTGAAGCGAATGGCTGGAAGGAGAAGTTCGTTCCCACTCAAAAACAGCAAAACGTTAGAACGAAAGGACTTCTCTCCTGATGAGAAGCTCAAATGCATTTTTAATTCACGTGTATCCAGTTATACAACCTCTTCATTTATTTAGTATAACCACAGTGCTACGAAACGGAATGGCATTCTGGAGGTGGCACGAATGGAATGAATGGGTGAGCAGCTTTTGGAAGCATACATGTACGTATCATGACTTCATCGACTTCTGCGATATTTTCCTGATTTTCATCCTTGCCTTCTCCCGTGAATACCTTGATACTGAAAGGTTACGATTGCACAGCGAGTCTCATCATTCCTTGAAGGATGACGCAAACACTATGAAATCATTCCAGATCTTCATTTGTGCAGGATCCAAACTTCTGAATAGACCCCTCCCCATAAAACCTGCAGATAAAGTATGGATTGAGCGAATCCGAACCAAATGCGGACAGCTTAAGAAAGAGTTCACCTTTGTGTGGGCTCGCCAGTTCAAAGTTACCCGCACTTCGCGTTCGGTTCGTTTTCGTCTGTTTTCAGGTTCCCATCCGATTTGGGTTCCTTAACTAAAATTTACTGCTGGTTCGCGTTCGATTCAGTTTCATCTGAAATGAAGTTAAACATTTGCGTTCGCTTTCTGTTCGGGTTAACTTCACACTCCTGCTCCACATCGAGGACTTTCTGCTCTAATCCCCATTCCCTGTCGCCAGCATGACAGTTCCCTGGTGACAGACTTCTTGAATCGTGTTTTGCGTCCTGGAGTATTAATGATTGCTGAATAGTTCAAATCTAAGCCTCTCAGTGACTGATGCCCTGACGTTCCGGATTCGATTTTACATAATTTCGTGTTCTTACAGGAGAGAAACTAACTCATTGCCTAAACTCTTTTCGTCCAAGTGAACCATTCGGCTGTTTATCTTTTTCTATGACGTTGAGACTCGTTCATTTTGGCGAATCGCCGAGCGCTGTATAAAAGAAGTAATCGCATTTGCTTTCCCATTTATTGATCTTCTTCCCTGTTCTTTCCATACATTTTTCATTAATTGACTCCTTTTCAATGCAGGCATGAATGGCTGTTACTCTCTCATCGTGGCAAGTCATTCATAATTCATAAGATTACGGAAACCGAGTCTCATCCAATCCCCTTCCTCCTACCCTTTCGACTATAATTTATTCTCGAAAAGTACAATCCTCGATTTATTCGAAGCATGTAGGCCATCGTGAAGGTTTATGATGGTGTTAGTCAAGCCGAACTGACACCTGAACAAGTTCTCAAGGTGACAAAAATTAGAAATAGAATTGAGGACTCGTACCGTTCAAGTGACAGCACGTGTCTCGCCTTGAGTCTGAATGAGGCCAAATTGAAAATAAAAGAATAGTGAAAACCCGCTGTTGGTAGCGAGTTTACTCTTCACGTCTTTTATCTTGCAGTCCACGCTCTCCACCGTATGGTGAAGGAGTTGGATATACCGAAGACTGCTTCGTTCCAACAGAGAGGTGCCCTATTGTTTCTGGTTTCCATGACCAATACTTAGTGGTGGTCTGTGAAAAGCCAGATAAGGTGTTCAGATGTACGTTGGTGGAGGGGGGTTGGAAAAAGGCCCAGACTTACAAGGTTTTCTTGGAAATCTATTTTTTTTGTTGGAATTTCACGACGAAGTTTTTTTTCGACGAAATGGATTTTGAAAGAAGTAATCAAAAGAGTTCAGAGTTTATGGAGGCATCAACATCTATTTTGGGAGCGTGAGATGATGAAGAGCATAGGCATGGACAGGTTTATGGGCCATTATACCGTGGGTGGTAACTGGCGACCCACACGTTCATTTTGTCCAGCTCGTGGAGCTCTCTTCAACAGTTAGCGTCAGAAAAATGCTACCAAGTCTCAACCTACTCGTATTAAAATTTTATGGCAAGAAAATTTGAATTTTTTTCCGTGGTCAACAACCGCCTCTGAAGAGATCATTCCGGCCCGAGTTCGAGTTTTACACTCCTGCATGGGACTGATCCAGTTTGAGCCTGGTCAGGGGCATTAGTTAGGTTGACTTCCGATTTCTTCAACCTACTCCGCACTCCTACTTTACGCGAATCAGCACTAGCGCAGTCACATGAATGACCCTCCTCCTTTCGTTCATCAAGGAGGGAACAGAACACTCTTTTTTCTTTGTCTGATATACTCAGACACGGCGCAGTACGCGATTGCAACGTTTTGATTGGAAATTATTTCCATTGACTATATGCAATCCTAACATGTTTGGTATTCTTCCACATTTCACTGTTCTCTGAACACCCTGATGGGCAGCCTCGGCTAATTCTCGTACCGCCGCCATATACGGAGTCTCAGACAATCTTTAATTTATTGACTTCAATAACCTCTGCATAAATCAGTATGTCAAAAATGTAAATTTAATTTTTAAGACGAATTACAAACGCCAATGGCATTACAATAATATGCGCAAAATATCCAAAATTAATTAGTTTTTATTTCTAATTTTGATGCTAAAAAGCAAGCTTTAACTATGTTTATCTTTGACTTTTTCGCTTGCCAATTCTATGGGTCTTTTTCCCGGTTTTTTTTTCCGAACCCCATGAAACTCGGCATAAAAATGTCTTCAATTGGCCAAATGTTAGGCGAATTTCGTGGATACCTCAATACTATAAAAATAAACTAGAATTTTGCTGACTTTAATATTGAAATGTGGATCAGAAGGCCAATGTAGGATAAAGCGGGAGGATGATCTCCCATGTCATTTCAATTCCCAATATTCGAATTCCATACTCCTGTAGCGTATCTCTAATCTTTACCCAAGCGTGAAAAATCTGACGTTCTTAATGCACGCAGACAGAATACACAGCCCTGGCAGAAACCTCATGGAGCCTACTCTTGAAATCCCGTAAAATCCGAAGCTTAATTTCACTCGTCCATGCGGAGAAGTTTTCTCCTCTACCCCAAACCTACCTCTTTCTATTCAATTAGCTGCACTGGTTCCATAAGGCCAGAGGTCAAGATGGCGCACGCGGATGAATTTTTTAGGTTTTCCAGGATTTTTCTTCAAGTCTACATAATTGCTTTTGGATTGTTGACCATAAGAGTGTCTACCTATGCCACGGATAAACAGAATGTCGATCTTATCAAGTGAGTCAAGAGATTCACTTAAAGTTACCGGGGATGTAAAAAATATGCTCTTAGCCTCACAGATGAAAAGATAAGGAAGGGGCAACCCGCGAAGCTGCATCTTTAAGCTTCAGACGTTTCTCTTGCATTTCCCATTCCTCGAACAGCGACATTCACTCGCCTTTTTTCTTATTGCATGTCTAGCATTGCATGCCTCGCTAGGAGTCCCTTTCTTTTCCCACAGTTTTGTCTGATGATCCAGTCATGTCACTTTGCAGGTGACATCTGTCACAAATGAAACTCACGGCACCAGTGGCGTACCCAGGAAATCCGAATGGGGGGGGGTCGCCATATGAAACACTGATTACCCACCCTAATGAGGGGGGGGGGTTAACATTTAAAAAAACTGATAACCCTGTATTTGTGGCAAAATATTTGTGAGAATCGAACGTGTAAAATTGACCCCAAGGGGGGGGGTTATGACCCCCAAACCCCCCCCCCCCCCTTGGGCACGCCACTGCACGGCACCTCAGTGACTTAACTTATTTATTTATGAAAAATACTCAGCCATCCTCCAACACTCAGTTTGAAGACCCGGGCCTTTGGTACGGTCCGGTGACCCCTGTGATCTCGGAAGCCTTGGCCAGGGATTCGATCCGGCGACCCACTCTGCTGCACTTGGATACAGAGCAATGTCTTTGCTTGCCGCCAGGTTATTGGGGGTATGTAGGTGTGCAAAGCAGTGGGAGGGTCCCGAAAATACGTTCGGGCGACTGACGAATGCCCTTCTTATATCACATCTCAATGAAGCTCTTTTTTTTTCTCAACTTCCCTTATTCGTTCCGTTGGTTGAAGTTTAACTTTCTAGATTTCGTTAGGAGTGATTCTTTATTGATCTCGGTCTTTAGGAGAAATACTTTATCGTTAAACTTTTCTCCCCCATCCTCAGGCGAGGAGTAATGTCATTAGAGTTTAAGCCTATGCTTGTTATTTATTTTAGTATGAGACCAGATCTTCATGCATTTGTTGCGTCTGAATGCGATGCGCTTACTTATTTTTGTTTTCCTCCGACATTTGGGTCAGGCCAGATTCGCCCTATTTCCCATAAGCCTATTGTATGGTAATTTACCTTGATTCAAGGCATTGTACGCTCGTTGTCATGAAGACATAGGCTGATATAATTTTGAGGCAGTCAATAACAATAAATCAACATCTATGATTTCCATTGGTGTCAGATTTTATGCTGCTCTCACTACTTAAGAATGAATGTAGAACTGCCATGATCATTTATCTTTTATTTTAGTGTCAAAAAAGAACCCTTTACAAACTGGAAAGTTTCCTTCCCCCACATATTTGCTGTGTCAGCTGGAAATGATTCCGCATTCGTGGGATAGCTGTTATTCCTTACAACTCATACATGGTATCATCTGTTTGGTACTGTATCAAATGCTATGCGCACACTCATTTTGGAAGAACCAAAGAGGGGGTGACCTGATACGCCTTCGAACCCCACGGTATCCCTTTTTCTAATAAAGTGGAAGAGTTGTCAGAGTCTATATTTGTGAAACGATACGATATATCGGTGAGTGCAGGACGTGTAACATTGGAATGGATGGAAGTGTTTATTCTCCCGCAGCTGTTCCAACGATGCCTCATGAAAGTGCTGAACATCGAACTTTGGAGAGCGTATTTATCTTACGTCCGTGACACGAAAGCTTCCCTCCCTAGTTACAAGTGAGTCCATTCTGGTTCCCGCCGTGCTTCTTGTTTGGAGTCACATGCTCTGTCGTGCCCATGTAGCTTCTTATTATATTGCTGTCATGATTGATGTGATGCTTGCATGAATCAGAGAGAAGATGGCGCAAGCATATGACTTTGCTCTGGACAAAATGGGTTTGGATATCAGCTCCTACTCCATGTGGAATGACTATGTTCATTTTCTGAAAGGAGTTGAAGCCATCGGTGCCTATGCCGAAAACCAGAAGATCACGGCTGTGCGAAAGGTAATCCGTGTTAGACTATTAGAGGCTTGCCCTCTCGCGAGGCAAGTTAAAGTATAAAGCGTTTCCCACTTTCAATCTCACAGGTGTATCAGCGAGGCGTGATGAACCCGATGGTGAGCATTGAGAATCTTTGGAAGGACTACGTAGCATACGAACAGAGTATCAATCACCTGATCGCAGAAAAGATGATAGCAGAGAGGAGCAAGGATTACATGAATGCCCGTCGGGTGGCGAAAGAGTTCGAGGCTCTCACCCGGGGTCTTAACCGCAATGTTCCCTCCATCCCTCCCAACGGATCTCCGGAAGAACTCAAACAGGTCTGTTTCATAGTTATAAAAGCTCAGCGTGTCTGGAAGGATTTCTCATAGAAGAGGTTTAGTTGAGATATTTGTAGTTTATTTGTTTTGACCTAGCTCAGACCCGAGGAAAGTGAAAGCCATAGGATTTTGCACGTATACAGGGTGGCGCAAAAGTCTCTATGCATTTTTGACTAGCTACACTTTCCTCACGTAATTCTTAACAAACTTAACAGAGCATAAACTGGTCATACTTGTTTCAGTAATTGATACATCAGTAATTGGTCGTTCGACCACCAACAGCAGTTGCAGCCTCGATAGTCCTAGAGAAGGATTCGATGAGGTTAGCCAGCGGGATTGAATTCCACTTTTTGGTGAGTCTAGTCACCAAATCTTCCCTGTTTCGGGGGCGTGGAGCTTCGAAGACGGAATCTTGTAGTATGACCCATGTGTGCTCTATCGGTGAAAAGTCCGATGATACACCAGGTCAGTTTCCTTTGGACCAGACGTTCTGAACTTCCTCCCTCAACAGTTGCAGGTTCTGGCCAGAACTGTGGCCTGGGGCCCCATCCTTTGGGTTCGGAAACAGCTTCCGATCCCTCAGGGCATCAAAGAAGTCTGGACTGGAAGGCCAAGGAAGGTCACTTTCCAGCAGGATGGGGCCCCACACCACAGTTCTGGCCAGAACCTGCAACTGTTGAGGGAGGAAGTTCAGAACGTCTGGTCCAAAGGAAACTGACCTGGTGTATCATCGGACTTTTCACCGATAGAGCACACATGGGTCATACTACAAGATTCCGTCTTCGAAGCTCCACGCCCCCGAAACAGGGAAGATTTGGTGACTAGACTCACCAAAAAGTGGAATTCAATCCCGCTGGCTAACCTCATCGAATCCTTCTCTAGGACTATCGAGGCTGCAACTGCTGTTGGTGGTCGAACGACCAATTACTGATGTGTCAATTACTGAAACAAGTATGACCAGTTTGTTAAGTTTGTTAAGAATTACGTGAGGAAAGTGTAGCTAGTCAAAAATGCATAGAGACTTTTGTGCCACCCTGTACATGCGGCTTGGATCTGAAGACTTTAAGTAGTTTAGTTTTTCCTATCGTTCTAATACATTGCAGCAATCGCCAAAAATTTATTTAGAATTATAGCAAAATGAAGAATTTTCCTCTGATGGAGAGCTTATAACTTTTGTGTTTCTGGATCATGTATCTCCCTGTCGTGTTTACTGTAGGTGGAACTGTGGAAGAAGTACATTGCGTGGGAGAAGTCAAATCCCTTAAGGACAGAGGACCAGTTGTTGTTGACCAGACGTGTGATGTTCGCATACGAGCAGTGCCTCCTCTGCCTTTCCCATCACCCCGACATCTGGCACGAGGCAGCCTCGTTCCTTGAATCTGCCTCCAAGGTCCTCCTTGAAAAAGGGGTAGGTGTGGTACTAAGTCTCTGTTTTGGCAAAGGTTCTGAATTTTGTAGCAGTCTTATTTTGTGCCTCAAAAGGACATCAATGCAAGCAAGACCTACAACGAGGAAGCAGCCAACATCTACGAGAGGGCAATTGCAGGAGTAATGCAGAAAAATGCCCTCCTTTACTTCGCTTATGCAGACTTTGAGGAGGGGAGGCTCAAGTATGACAAAGTTCACCAGATCTATGATCGCCTTATCCAGCAACAGGAAGTGGATCCCACTCTGGTGAGGCTTCATTACTCTCACTAACCTCGTATCTCCTTGGCAAAACCTTGCTTTGTCTCTTGGTTCAGATTACTTAATGCACAATTTTGACTTTGCATTCACAACTTGCTTCTCTCTCCTGAGAAAATTTTGTATATTTCAGCCTTCATCTAAGAGTACTGGTTTATTTTGTATCACCTTCTTTGAGACCCACAAAGGAGTTGGCTATCTTTGCAGGCTTATGTACAGTACATGAAGTTTGCTCGTCGAGCAGAAGGGATCAAGTCAGCTAGACAGGTCTTCAAGCGAGCACGTGAGGATGACCGCACCAGATATCAAGTTTATGTTTCAGCTGCTCTCATGGAGTACTATTGCACAAAGGAGAAGTCCATTGCCTTCAAGATATTTGAGTTGGGCTTGAAAAAATTTGGAGACATTCCGGAATATGCTCTTGCCTACATCGATTACCTCTCTCATTTGAATGGTACACATATTACACATCTTGAATCCAATCATAGATTTCTTGATGTTGACAGCGGTGAATCTTATTTCAGAGGACAACAATACTAGGGTTCTCTTTGAGAGAGTCCTTTCATCATCAACTCTGTCTCCTGAAAATTCTGTGTAAGTCTCTCCCGAGAGATTTCACAGTCTTGGCACTAACAAATGGCCCTCTTGATCAATTGCTCTGACTCTTGTTTTTGATGGATCAGAGAAGTGTGGAATCGATTCCTGGAGTTTGAGTGTCAGATTGGAGACCTAGCATCAATTGTGAAGGTGGAGAAGAGGAGAGCAGAAGTCTTGGAAAAGGTGAAGGAATACGAAGGGAAGCAAACAGCTCTGCTGGTGGACCGATATCGCTTCCTTGATCTCTTCCCTTGCACTCCCATTGAACTCAGGTCTCTTTTCTCTGTCTTAATTTCCCATGGAAAGAGCTCCAAGAGAGCCAAAAGCTGGAATTTTCCATTCATTGTTTTTATTTTCATCAACTTTTGTGGTCTACAATGTTGTTGATGCTCTTGTCTGTATTCTTCAAAGGATGCAGGAATGCTTCTCTTACATTGGAAGCTGTATCTTACAGGAGCATAGGATACAAGGACATGGGCGTGACTGGAGTGACATCAGGTTCAATACCAATGCGCCCACTCATGGATGCCTTGGAAGAATATGCACCCCAGACCTCATACCCTGTCCCTGATCTCTCCCAAATGGTTCCATTCAAGCCCAAGCTTCAATGGAATCCTGGAGAACACCCCATTCCTGGTGAGAAACAAATTTTGGCAGAAAATTCACATGGAGTTTGAGGCTCTAGGACAGTGGTACTCAAACTGTGGCCCTTAGGCCTAATATGCAGCCCACAAAAACAAAAGGGACTTTGAAGTAAATGGAGATTTTTTCATTATTACCAGTTTGTAAGCCTTTTTCTAGTGCAGTATGGATAAGGTTGATCACATTTAGATGCAACTCCTGCTCAAAAAGTTTGAGTACTACTACTCTAGGATCTCAACTATGGTCCTTTTGCTTTCTCATATCAACACCCTAAATTACTGTGGTCTAGTCTCATGTCACCATGGCTTCTGTCTCAATTTTCTTAAATCCTCTCCTATTCATAAGATGAATATATTGGAAGGTAACCTCAAAAATAACTGAAATGTCGTGTTTATCACCTGGCCATCTGCTTATATGATACCTAAAGACATGATGCACTTTGTGTAGGCTGAAGAATTTTTCATAAAAGTTGCACATGGACTTAGTGTTTGCATCCAGACTATTTGACAAGTTTGGCAAACCCAGTTACATAATGGTCTTGTATTGATGAAAGACTGAAAAAATGTATGCTGTGGATGTGGCAGAAGGTCTGTGGTAATGCAGATGAACCAAGGCCTCCAACCACCATCTGGCACCCTTTAGTTCTTTATCAGAATCAAGTTAAATCATTTCAAATGAGCAAACAGAAAACTTATTCGGGGACTACTCGTTACAGAAGACAATTTCAACCTGGATTTTGTCTGCCTGTGTCGACATGATGAATTTCACTCCCCATCAATACAGTATATTTTTAGCTATTATTAGAGAGCGGGCTTGTAAGACTTAAAATAGGACCTTATTTTTCGATTGCAATGAGCTAAGTCAAGATAACAATGGGTGGATTGCACAAAACTGACTTTAGCCTAATGGAGCTTTAAACCTCCTTTAGACCTCCATTAGCTCCGCTCAAGGAAGTTTAAAGCTCCATTAGGCTAAAATTAGTTTCATGCAATCCACCTTAAATCTTCAAGGAGGGAGGGGTAAACTCGTAAAACGGGAGCTTTGGGTCGGCCGCGGAAAAATAGCAGATTTGAGGTCCAACATTTTTAAAAAATATGACCAAATCGCACCAAATATTAAAAGAATATGACCTAGCAACATGAGCCCATTTTGTTTCCACTGGTGCCAGAAATCCATCCAGCGCACGTGAATGAATTGCAGGGAGGCAAAATGTGACCTTGCTTATCTTCATCACCGAAACGAAACTGGTAACTGCTAGACTTGTAGACAGGGATACAGTACAGACAGGACAGCTCTCTAACATCGGACTATTTGAAAAAAAAGGCCATTAAGCACCTTGAAGACGTTTGAGATTTTCCCAGTCTTCCCCTTATCAGGCTCATTTACCTTTGTTCTCAGTGCAATGAAAGTTTTCAGTTTGGTTGAGAAATGGTGTGATGTATTGATGGAGGACAATCAGAACCATCCATGTCATGCGTATTTGTTTATTTTGCGTCGCGATACAACAGGAGGAGGGTTCCCAATGCCGCCTGCAGCAGTGTCTCTGTGCCAACTCCTTCCACCTCCACAGTGTTTCCATGGACCTTTCGTCGTCGTGGATTCTCTCACCGAATCCTTCTCTCGCATGACTCTCCCAGAATCAGGTACTCCGAGTCTCTTGTCTCCTCAGGGATCATGATGAGGCTAGACTTTCATCTCTAAATTCCTGAATATCAAGTCTCCAAATGAAGAACGAAGTCTTATAATTTTCATTCTTCTCGCAGTGGAAGTGCAGGGAATGGGAGATGGAGGATTAGGAAGTGGAGGAGAAGAAAATAGTCAGATCTCAGCGAAATTGTTTGAATACGCCAAATCTGTGCATTGGGTGATCACGGACGGTGAAGGAGGTCACGGGCATGGGCATGGAAGTCATGGTACAAAGAGGAAAGGAGGGGAATCCGATGACGAAGGGGATTCTTCCTCCAACCCTCCACCCTTCACAGACATCTATCGCATGCGACAGCAAAAAAAGATGAAATAATGTATCTGCACATTACCTTCCCCGCTCACCGACTGATCGCGGCAGTCCAAATCGGTTTCTCCCCTGGACAAAATTTCCTTTCCCCTTTTGTTTTTTTGGCATTTTCTCACTGGATTTTTCATGAAGTTCTTTGAATTAGGGTGAATGATGAGAAATATCTGGAATCCCTTGTGTTTTTTTTTCTTCATTTTCATCCAGGCCCGCTTCTCAAGGCAATAGCATCTCTCTTTTTTGATAGGCGTAACTTTTCGGACTTTCCTTGATCCCAAAGCTATGGAATTAGTATAATTACTTCATTTTCAGAACCATGAAATCTATCCTTTTCTGAGGCGTTGCTTTACTTACTTATGGACGGTTTGTCTGACTGTAAATGGGGAAGAGGCAGCAGGAAGTGCAACAATGGATTTTGAGTTTTCAGCCGGACCAAGGAACTAAGTTTGATAGCTGTCAAATTTTAACCTACTTGGGTGCAATTAAAGGATTTCAAATTATGAAGAACTCGAAAACTTTTCTGAATTCATTTATAGATAAATATATCTTCAAACAGCAAATTTAAACCTAAGAATTGTGACCGTATCTTCTCCGCATGGTCAACCAAACACTTAACCGTAAATAGTTGTTATTCCGCCGCTGATGTTTTTTTTCTTTCCAATGTTTATCTTGACGAATTCCATGTAGAATCTGTAGAGAAGGCCGGTTAGTGTTGTTTTTGGTCTTTATCTTAGGGTTCGCTGAATGGATTCAATCCTGGAATGCCTATGTCACATAACGTGGCTAGTTTTCCAGTTTTTGCACTTCTGCATCAAAGCCGGAACCGATCATGGCTTTGCGTCCCCTCCCCCTTCCAGTCTGAGAACAGTGCCTCGCTACAAGCCTGCAACCCAGTTTCAATAGAGCCTTCCTGAAGGAATTACTTTCGATATACAATGAATAAAAGCGTAGAATAAAATGGGTCGCATTAGTTTAAGTCCGTGGCCAGTGGCGTAGGCAGGAAATCGGCAATGGGGGGGGTTTGAGGCCAGCTAGACACCTCAACCCTACGCCTAGCTCCACTACTCGGAATTTACCCTTTCAAAGAAATCATGATCTGGCATCTTGGGTCTGTGGAGGGACATCAGACTTTCCTCGAAGGGGCATAGCTAAAACTGGAATTCCCAAGGAAGGTTGAAATATGCCTGTCAGTGTCACTGACCGGGAAGCCCAAGGTGTTCTAACCCCCTAAACCCCCCCTTCCCTACGCCACTGTCCGTGGCCACTGCAAGCAATCGGGTTACCACGAAATTCAATGAGAACGATGAATATGCTCCTTGACGCAAAACTCATCAAATCAAAGGTGGTGGGGAAAAAAAAAACTAATTTTCTTAGCAAAGGTCATTTTCAACATCAAGGCAGCATATCGTCGCCTTTTGCGATAAGTCGTATCTCGGCTGGCCGCCGAATTCGGGTTTATTAACGGCAAAAGTTACGTCTTCATTATATCCATCGTGTGTGAAAACGTTGTATCTCAAAACCAATCATGAGGTCAGGAAAACGGTGGAGTGACAAAAGTCGCATCTTGATCGGTCCAAATTTCTGTGTGAAAAAAGTCGCATCTGGTAAGCGTGCGAAGAAGGTGATGGGGTGTAAAGGTCTTACCTCCGCTTCCGGGCACACTTCCGGCTCTGGATGGAAGTTTAATCGCATAAATGATTCTGCTTCTATTCCACAGAATTATTAAGCCGATATGCCCCATCCTGTTTCATAACAGAAGTCAACAGTTCTTCCGCTCTAACCGAAAATGTTAAGAAGTCGAGATACAGGATATAGAAAAAATATATATATATATTTTTTTATTTACCAGTATATTTCTGCCGCCACTTCAGCTATTTTCACGGCGATTCCATTGCGCATGGATAAATGAGCTTACAAAATATCTAAAAATGTCATTTCTCAAAAGAAAGGCTATTATCAATGATAAAGAAAGAAGTTGGACAATGAAAATGGACTAGAGCTCGTGCTGGTAGTGAAGTGGTCACGCCTGAGCGCTCTTCAATATGCACACTGCAACAAATTTTCGGAAATTTCCGATTCTTCGTAAAAATTTCCGACTAAGAGCGTGTATACCATAGGGGTTTTCCCTAATGCTCGGAAAATATTTTCTGTTTCTTCGGAAATCCCGCTTAGTCTTAGCGGAATTCTTCCCCTTTTCAAGAAATATTACAGCTAAGGAACCTAAATTCCCTGCAAGGACGCTAGACCCTTCTGCGGGAGGGGGCGACGTCGGGAGTCTCTGCACAGGGCGCCGAAATAACTGGAGCCGGTCATGGTTATACCTTACTTTGGCCTAGTCGTAGGACTGAGCCTGTATCCAAAAAAATAATTGTTTCCGCTCATGAAAGGTAATCCTATCATATGCCTAGGTCTAGCCTGAACCCATGAGAAACGTTTAAAAACACGTAACGTTTGCCTATGAAATATTTTGTGATATTTTCAGATATATTGGCAAACAAAGGATCGCGTCAGAGGTAAGAGCCAGAGAAAAGGAAGTAGGTTTAGGCCAACCGTATAGACCTGACCAAAACGATTTCTCACTGGATGAGAAAATACAGTCCAGCAGGGACACAGCCAGGGGAGGGGGTGTCCTGGGTGTCTGGACATCCCCCGATATGAAGTAAGATATCATGAAACAAGGAGTGTAGGGGAGGGTGTGAAAATTTTCACATATACAACTGAAATTTCGACTTGAACTCCTATTCCAACTGAATACAATCACTCATAACCAATACAGTCCCCCCCCCCTTTTGCTTCCATTGCTCTACCAGTTTTTTGAGTTCCAGTAGCAAACCATGATTCAGGATGTAGCTTTCACCCACTAAATTATTACTAATTCAAGGTCAGTCCTTGGCCATTATCACTTTTCAAGCAAAAAAAAATTGAAAGTTTGGGAAGAGAAGGGGCTATTTTGAACCAGGAGGTGGATTGGATTGAAGTCTCAAAAGCAGGGTCGGATTAAGAAGTTGCGAGGCCCGGGATTTTTGAGGCTACCCCCCCCCCCCTCCCCCTACTATAGACAAATATTTAACTTTTTAATTTCCTTCGGGGGGGCCTGGAAGAGTGGGGCCCGGGTCAACAGCCCCCTTTGCCAACCCTCCCCCAACCCTTAATCCGGCCCTGCTCAAAAAGCTTTCGAAGTTTTCCTCATTCCTACCAACCACTCACCTTCCTCAGCCACTTCATCATCTCACAAGCCTGAAAGAGCGTCACAAAGACACACCCCGAAAGTAATTCCTGGCTACGTCCCTGCAGTCCAGAACAGCAAATGGAGGAGATGACTTCACACGCGGGCTGCGCGCAAGCATGGATGGGAAATGTGAAATGTGAGCGAGACTACTGAGAGATATATGAACAGAAAAAACTTTCTGATTGAATATTGTGCATTACTTTAACTCAGGGATGTGCAACCCGCGGGTCGCATGTGGCCCGTGGACCTGCTTCTTGCGGCCCGGCAATGCCTAATGGGATAACAGATAAGTTTCTTGGCGGCCGAAGACCCATCACAACATTGGTCAACCCAGTAGAAATAGACTGAGTCCTTTTACTCCATTCTAATTTTTCCTCACGCGGGCGGTACTACATATGTCCCATGTGTCCCGAGGAAGAAGGTTCTCAATGCCAAAGGCTATTTTTGGACGTTGGAATTTCCTTGGGTGGGGAGGAGGTAAGACCAATCAGCGCGACCTTGGTGCGATGATCTTGGTAAGGCCAAGATCATCGGCCAATCAGCGCGACCTTATGCCCTCATGTGTCCTGAGGACAAAAGAGGGGAGCCTTTCCTTTTGCATTCTGTGGCCCGCGTCAAGAGTCACACATTTCCATGCAGTCCACAGCCGATAAAGGTTGCACATCCCTGCGTTAACTCTTTCGCTGCGGTTGTCCCATTTTCGTTCTCACTTAAGGGATATCAGGGGTTTTAAACTCGACAGCGAAAGAGTTAAAATTTTTCATGTCTGCACATGTTTTGGCAGGATGGGAGGAAAATATGACGAAATGTAATTTCCGTCCAGGACATCCTTATTTTTTGTTCTCGTCCACTTTTCGTCCATGAAAAATGAATTATTTCGTTTTCGTCTACCTGACGAATATTTAAATCATTTTCGTTAAGAGCTTTTTCGTCTGAATTTTCGTCAAGGAGAACATCATTGATGGTAATGTACAGTGGCGTAGGCAGAAAATCGGCAAGGTTGAGGCCAAGTAGACACCCCAACCCTACGCTTAGCTTCACCACCCGGAATTTACCTTTTTGAAGAAATCGTGGTCTGGCATTTGCCATCTGTGGATGGACTTTCCTCGGAAGGGGGATAGCTAAAACTGGAATTCCCAAGGAAGGCTGAAATGTCTGTCTGTCATTGACCAGGAAGCCCAAAGGGGGGTGTTCTGACCCCCTAAACCCCCCCTCCCCCCCCCCTTCCCTACGCCACTGGTAATGTATAGCAGGTCTCCGACATGTTCCATACGCATCTGAATCCGACACCTGCGCCGTAAAAGGAGAATTGTCATTTTAATGGAGATGTCGACAGAGATCGCTGTACCAGAACTCAGCCTCTAGCAGACGATTGTGATGACATCAAATGGCCTCTGGTATGCATCATACTACCACATGTACACCTAGGTTTGAAGTTTCTGGTAAGGCCTGGCTTGTGTTATTGCACCGATTTTACAATAGTCTTAAAGTACGAATCATGAGGCCAGAATGATTGTTTCCTCCAAAATCTCGCGAGCTAATGTGAAGGCAAAATTAACCCTAAGAAAATGGCCTTTTAGACAATTAAATAGAACTGCAGGTAGTTAATCCATCTTACTGGAGATAATCACCACCTTGTGATGTTGATTGGTTGACATGTCCTGCATCTCGCTTGGGATCAAGCTAAGAGCCATGGAGCACTTGGAAAGGTTAGGCTAGCCATTCATGGTACCTTCATGAATATCATGAAAGGCTAGGATAGGAGGGTATCATGCCTAAAAATGGCCTTGGATCCAAGTAGATAGGTCCATACCCCCTTGTTAATTTCTTTTATGGAAAAAGACTCTTGATACTGTCGCCCAAGTTTTAGAAACTGCATGCAGACTTCATGCTATTCTCAAACTTCATTAAACCAAGTATGTATATATTTTATGTATACATGTCTGGTTAGGTTTATATATGTTTATGGCAGTGTCTATTGGCTGAGCTGGCTCAGCCCTGACTTCAAAGCCAAGCTGGGAATAATAATCTCTAACATCATTACTAACATAATACAGTATCCTGCAGACCACCAAACACAGGCATGTCTTGCAAGGTAGAGGAAGCTGCTTCGTTTGCCTTGTGAGAAGACTTTTGAGCAATCTTTTTCACCTCGTCAGCACAAAACTAGACAGCTCTTCATTATTGTAGTATATCATGGTTGTTTAAAAGGTCTTATGTCAGGTTAGGAAGTAGATTTAACTAATTTAAGATGTCTTGTGTTTGAACATGGGTAAATTGAAATCAACTTTTGAAATCACCCATTAAGGGCTCTTCTCTCTACACAACTAGGGCCTTGAGTGAGCCCTCTACCCTAACTATATAGATTCAAGGTAGAGGAAGCTGCTTCGTTTGCCTTGTGAGAAGACTTTTGAGCAATCTTTTTCACCTCGTCACCACAAAACTAGACAGCTCTTCATTATTGTAGTATATCATGGTTGTTTAAAAGGTGTTATATCATGTCAGGTTAGGAAGTAGATGACATGCAACTTAACTAATTTAAGATGTCTTGTGTTGGAACATGGGTAAATTGAAATCAACTTTTAAAATCACCCATTAAGGACTCTTCTCTCTACACAACTAGGGCCTTGAGTGAGCCCTCTACCCTAACTATATATATTTTAGGGATTTTGTCAAATCCTGCATCTTAATAGTTACTCTTTGCTTGAAGCTGCTGGAAAAGATGCACATGGCACTAGTAATATGATGAAAGCTATCTCTCTAGAATACACATCTTTTAAGACTTTAGCCTAACCATGCAAATTCTTTCCACTTCAGAAAGCTAGCTTGGCCACAACTTAGAGGCCAAGCTCTCTTCTATAGAGTGTTGGTCCAAGAACTGAGATGTCACGAGTCAGGTGACTTTCCAGCTGGTCCCCTAAGTCAGGGCCGAGCCAACTCGGCCAATAGACACTGCCTATGTTTATATGTATATATTTTTGTTCCATAATAAACCACACTTCTCCCAATTCTGATTTTCTTTATCCTCCATTCTCATAGTTACTTTGGAAGGACAAATCTGAAAACATGGATCCATCTGGTTGACTTCATTTTCATACTCACCATCCATCAGTTAGAATCATTCTCATATTAATATGGCTGAAGCCATTCTCTCCATGTTTTCTTAGATCATTTTATTATTTGCTTTTTTCTTGTCAGAGGGTGCACAGAATGGGATCATCTTAGATGTTGATCCTCCAAAGACTGAATTCCCTTTCCCTTACACATCTGACCGTGGTAGGGTTGTCTCTCCTGAAATATTTGCCATGCCCTTTATGGATTTCACTTATGATCATGTCCTTTATTTTCTGACATTTCACAGTAGATTTTAATCAAAGTTTACTATTTTCATTCAACCTCTGATATAAAAAGGAGTCAGCTGTTATAGAGATGAGTCAAGCAATGTTTTTCTATATTACTCAATCATGCCATGGCATTCTTAGCTGAAGAAGTTAGTGCCTTCCCATTGATGAACAGCTTATAGTCAGTAATGGTTTCCAACATTAAAAAAATCATGTTTTATTAATACCACTTTGTGGCATGATCACAATGAATGAAAACTTGCTTCTTGCTTAATCCTCTCCAGAAAACCATTTTCATTAATCCTCAAGTAGCCTAGTGGATCTCTTAAACATGTTCAATATATGTGGAAAGCCATCACTGGATAAGAGTTATTCACATTTAATCAAAGTTTTCTGTGATGAATCATTGATTACAATGAAATTATGAGTCACATATCTGCATCTGCACTTTTTGTTTTCCTATTACTTATCCTTAAGTAATAGGAAATGTAATGGAAAAACATGATTTGTAAATGACTATATATTTTTTAGGTCAGACATTTTAAAGCTGGGATGCCAAAAGTTTTGGAGTGCCAGGCCGTACCTGAAGTAAAAATAATGGTGTGGGCTGAATAGCCAAAAAAAATCAATCATTTTTGTAAATGAGAAATGCTATGAGGAGGATACCTGGCACAATCCTATTTGGCACAATGCATTTCATCTTGTATAGAATAGAATATATTTCCACACATTTGCAAGTAAGGACAAAAAATGAGGGTAAAACAAAGACAAAACACCCAAAAAGGAAAAGGGAAAAGAAATGGAAATAGAATGCAAATAAGCAATTGCAATAAGGCCATCCATTAAACCCAATTGGGTTCACCCTGGTTGGTTGGTTGGGATATAAGCAAAAAAAAATTGATTGATTGGTTGATTTATTTATTTTCCTTTTCATGGGGATCAGGGTGAGCCTAATCAGCTAATTATGGAAGGAGTTGGTTCCTGTATTAGATTCTTTTCAGTAAAATAATTTAATATTTTGGCTTGATTTGGATTGATTTTCCAGCCCCTATATATCTTCAGCAGTTCATTATGTATCCTTAGTCCTTGCATGATGCTTTGTTTTGCAAACTTTGTGTTTATTCTAGGTATTTAAAAATTTCCTACTTTGAATACTCCAGTTTCATAAGGGTGGGAGTCATCTCTACTATAATGTGAAATGTATGACATGATGGATCCAACCCATAGGCTGTACTTTGGACACTCTTGGTGTAAAGGTTATGCAGGAAGCATATTAGGTGTACAATTTTTTGACTGACCTTCATGCTTTCATTTTGGGCCATTAATCTGTGCAATAGACCAAGGGTGTCCAAAGTATGGCCCCCAGCCAGGATCTCTTACATGTTTATCATTCAAGTAAGTAAAATGCTTATCAGATTATGCTCTTAAGTGCCCTTTCTTAACTGCATTTCTCATTTGCTAAAATTGTAAATGTATATTTCTAATGGCTTTCCAGCTCACATCATTCCTTTTACTTCAATGTGGCCTGCCATTCTGAAACTTCTGCAGTAGACTTTGCCTGTGGAATTGGTGTTTCACATTGCATTTGCTTTAGGTAAAAATATAGAAAGCTCATCATTTGACTAAATATGACATATTTTTTAATAACTTATTATTGGTCTTCTGTGTTCCAAAAGTATTTGTAGGTCTTTGGTTTCCTTCCATTCATGACAAGATGAACAACAATGACCAATAATCTGTGACCAGTTTGGCACATCTAGGAGAATGGATTTGGAGCATGAGGATTCAACTGCAGAGGGGTCTGAGTTTGGAGAGGAGGATGATGAGACAGAGAGGGTAGGTCCTATTAGAGGAATCCCAAACCCATAACCCATAAGTTCAATTATTGACCTTTGGCCTATATAGAAGTTGAATCCTAGAAAAGGTTCGTTTACTGTATTCTCTTCACCTTGCAGTCAAAAATGATAAGCAAAGGGAACAATTTAACTGTTATGTGGCTAGCCAGTTGTGATGAAGTTGACTGCCAGCTGGTTGATTAATTTTCAGGGGAAGTGGTATCCTGGGGTCTACATCCTTTTTCTCGTGTTATAGATTCCTTCCTCAAAAAAGGGGAAATTCAATTTCAATCCTGTTCTGTCAAGGCTAAGGCTGCCTTTGTTTCAGAGTCAAGTGAATTTGAAGTTTTCCCCCACTTCTTGCCTACTATGTCAGGTGACATAGAATTTAGAGAATTCATATTCAATTATGATAAATATGACTGACTAGAACCTCAAAAAATGCTAGCCCCATATAGTGATACATACATCTCTCAAAGAAAATGTCAGTTGTGTTTTGTCTTTACTTGGTTAACCTACAGATCTGATAAGCTTTGGTTCTTTTGTCCTGTGTTAACTTATGTGGCTTCTTCTCTCCTACTTCATTCATTAGGGAATAAGGGTCAATTATACCCTTGCTGCAGTGAGAAGTGATGAAGTAGGCCAACTTCCAGAGCGATAATGGCAACATGATTTTATATGTATAATAAGTAAAAGACATCTTGACTGATGAATACCAAACTTTCAATGCAAGGAGAGGAGGGATTTTGGTAGCTCTGATTTCTGAAGAAAAGGTTGCCAGATGTTTGTATAAATTACTGGCTATTACAAGTATTTATCCAAATATTAGGTTATGCCTTTTTTTTGTTTAAATCAAGGCATCCAAAATTCATACTTGCCTTGTATTCAAGGCATTCACCTTATATTTTGACAAATATACCATGTGTGTACTATGTATGCCTTTCATTGAGTTGGTCCCATATGTAGTGAATTTGAAGCATCTTTTGTTTTCATTGCACAGAATTCCATACGAAAGGAACTGTCTGGGCTGAGCTTTGAAGAACTTCAGGCCTTGAAGCAGGAATTGGGTTCAAAGGCATATAACTTGGCAATGTTTGGGTCCCAGAAAAAACAGCCATCATTGCCTCCTCGTGCCAACAAAAACAGGTTTGTCATGGTATTTGGAAGGCTTAGAGAAAGAGATACTGATGTATGCATTGTTCCTGCATGGACTCTGGCAATCATGATTGCACATTATACAGAAGTTCAACAGCTAGATTAAGCCTGAGCATGAAATTTTGTAAGCATAAAAATGCATTTGACTAAAGTAATTTGTGATTAATGAATAATTGGATATCCCTGGCTGTAATAGGCTTCCCCTTTCCATAAAGGATCATTCAAAAATTTACTCTCCTTCTCTGTCATCCATGTTCAAATTTTTGCAAATCATTGCCTACAAGACTTCTTCATAACCAATGATGTCACTAAGGGAGTGTGGTGAGGGTAACAAGTGACATTTCTAACCCCTTGCCTGGGGAATTGCAATCTCTCTGCTCACATGTTGGGGAATTTTTCCTTACTGAACCTGACAAGTAACATACTACTTCATATAATAATTTCACATTTTCCACAAGAGGATACATTACATCATGAGTTCCTTGATGAATACCAGCTGGCCCAAAAAAACAGCATCCTGTTTGACACTTTAGAGAATCCATTGTGGATGATCCAGGTTCATGATGTTTTTGTCTCCTTGGAAGCACCACAAAATTTGTTTTCTGAAAGTTTCATGTAAGTTGTCTGAATAAAAATCAACAGTGGTTCAATGTGGAGGCTTAAAATGTACCTTTTTTATGCATGAGGTGGATGGAGTTTCAGCAATGCTCAAATGATTTCTCTCCCTTGACTTCAATTTTATTCTGAAAAGTGCCTCTCAGCATATGAGGTACATGGAAGGAGACACTTCCTTATAGAATGGGACACACTCTCTGAAATTTTAAAGTATTTTTGAAGCTCAGCACAAAAGCCCATTTGATTCATTTGTGAGTGAATAATTTTTTTTGAGCAGTCTTAATGGATGGGGTTAATTAGGTGAGACTTTGACAAAAGTCTGTATGGCTTACTTATGTTCACCTTGTCAATGGAATGTATGGAATTGGCAGGCCCAGAGAGGTTTCATCAAAGGTTCCTGTGGGGATACGGAGGAATGTGGTGGAGGTGAAAAAGAAGGTGGTCAGAGACCCTCGTTTCCATGAATCCTCAGGTTCCTTCAAAAAGAAAGCTTGGAAGGAAGCATATGACTTCATTGAGGAAATGAAGGAGAAAGAGATGAAGTTACTCCGAAAACAGCTCAAAGACCCCAGTCATGATGGTAATACACAAAGGAGCATCCATCTCACTCTCCAACGAATGGTTTGTTTTATTCAATCCAGTCCACTCTTCTTTTTTTTCCCACTCTTGTGGGAAAATCAAATTCAAGAAAAAGCCATGATATTCTAACAAGTGATCATTGTATTTCTGATAGGATGACTAGATGACTCTCATGCAAAATGGCAACACAGACAATTCCCCTAACCATTCCCAATTACTTCTCTTTATCAATTGCTGAGTTCTTTGCTGATTTTCTTGAACCCTTGGTGCGGGATTTAAGGACAAAGGTCCATGGAAAAGAATTATGAATTCACATGTGTATACAGTGAAAGCATTCGTGTTAAATGCTTTGGGGCTTCTGCATGTTGCATGATAGAGTGGTCAATGGCAGGGAGTGTGGGTTTATTCAAAAGTTAAAAATGCAGTAATCTGAAAGAAAAATAATTTGGGAAGCATATCCACTGAATGACATGTTTCCTTTATGTTCCTAGTTTTTGGACTGTGTAGAATATCAATAGTATTTAATTTAAAAAATATTTTATCAATTGAATGCAATAATTTTTCTGAGATTTGATGTTTCTGCTTCAGTTACCAATTGGAATCAGAAACTTTCAAATACTCATAGCCCATAGCCATGCCTGTAGCTAGTTAGCCTGCAGGGACCCCATGTCAGTCCCATCATTGCTCATTCAGAAGCAGTGTTATTTTATTTTGAATTTTTTCAGCCATGAATGACTCCTTGTCTCAGAAGAAAAGGGTTGAGGTCATTCATGATGAATGCATTCATATCCCATTCCTAGAAAAGCAGAATGTTTCCAGGCATCCTCAGTGGACAGAGCCCTTCTTTCCCCTCTCATTACTCTATGTTTCATGCTGTGGTCACAGTGAAATCTATATTGTTGGAAATAGGGCTGGTGGAAGTAACCCTGTCATCCCAGGCGCCAAGAATACAAGTTAAATAAATAATAAAGTAAAGAGAAAGGGCAAAGCCCCTTCTGACCTTGGATAATATAGCTCATACCACCACCAGACAAAGTTGCCTTACATCCTCTTCTTCTTAATCATCTGGTACGACTTGTTCTTTGAACCGAATCTTATAAGCAACAGATGCAATGTTCTGCCATGTGCGTTGGTATAGCTCACAAACTGGTTGAAAGCACCTGGAAATACTCTCTGCATGAAAAAAATACTTTGAGGGTTTGAGTGAATGATTGAGGGAATGATTAGAGCTAAAAAACTGGCAGAAAAATTAAATGTTGCTGCAAAACTGACAAACTTGTGTTGGGCAGAAGACACATCAATTTTGAATCCAAGGATGGAGGAAGGATGAATGAGCCTATTGTGTTACTAGAGACTATGATATATAATGCATGTTCAGAACAGCATTTTTTATATGTTGCATTGGGCAGCTCAACGAAAAGCAGAATATAATTTTTCAGTTGCTGATAACACACCCGCTTTTTAGGTTCCTGTGCAACATGAAAGATATTAAAACCGTGGAAACTATTGCATAGAGGAAATTGAGCGTGGATTTGACAGTGCACAGGTAGTGAGTGACAGTTGGAATATGCAGAGAGGGGCTCCTCCTAACTGAAGTTAAAATGCATCTCATATTGACCAGAATGTCTGACTACAATGTATATCGTTGGTAGATCATTCAGTTTCAGCATCGTAGATGAGGTGGTAGCAATGACTCAAAAAGAGGATGGGAAATCTTAGAAACCTGCATGACTTCCCTCCATATCCTTGGCAATTAAAATTGTATAGATAAAAAATTTATCCTTATGTAACTTCATGATGGAAAATATTGGAGGGGGGGGGGAGCCCCGAACCTTGTGTCGTGATAAATGACAAATTGCATTCCAGTGACTACCTGCCTTTTGCATGATGTACAATATATAGTCAGTCATCAAAGACTGAATGATTTGGAAAGAGAAAAGAAGGAACTATACCAACTCCAGCAGCTGCACAGATGGGAGTTTTTTCTTAAAAAGCTCTTTTATCACAAATGAAAGGTAGGCTTTCTGTTCACCCAATATAGATGACATGAAATAATATTTGGTGAACAAGTCATCTATAAAGGAAGGGGGATGTGTGGGAGAGGTGAAATGAAAAAAGAGAGTTGGGCTTAGAGGTAAAAAGCTTTAGAGACAGTGTAACTAGCCCTTTTTCATGCAGGTCTTTCTATTCTCAACAGGAAAATCAGAAGAGGGAAGCCCTGAGGGAGGAAATGGAGGAGAAACAAAAGGAGGAAGAGAAGCAGAGCAATATTCAGAGGATGAAGGAAGGCAAGAAGCCTTTCTTCACCAGAAAGTGTATGCAAATTCAGTCTCTCTCACTAGGGCTAGGCTTCTGAGCTAATCAAGCCATTTTTTCCATATCATCAGTATATGCATGGTGAACTGGAATAATTTCCCTGGAATCCAGTGAAATTATTCAACAATTGACATTTATTTTAACCTCTTCTCACTTTTAGCAACAAGGAGGAAGCAGCTTCTGAAGGAGAAGTTTGAGGACTTGCAGAAGAAGGGTCAGTTGGAGAAGTACATAAAGAACAAGCGCAAAAGACTGGCTGCACGAGATCGCAAGCATGTTCTGTGATGCTCAGATGTCATCTGTGATTCATGTTCAAGAAACCAGAACCCTGAATGCTTCATCAGGATGCCGTTATGTTGGTTTAATATGAAAATGAACGTTTTTTTCAGACTTATTTCAGTGGAGTCACTCACTGTCTCTTAAGGAACTTAACACCCAAGGAAGTAAGGGTGTTCATACTATTGCAGCAAATCATACTATTGTCTCTTTGAATGAAGAACTTCACCAAGTATATTTCACAATACCAAGTCCTGGGTTTTTAACTGTGAGGGTCACTCAGAAAGTAATGCCTCTTATTTTTTTTCCACTGAAACAAGTGATTAGTGGATGACAAAAAAATTCCTACTGAAACCTTCAAACCTCCTGCCCTTGACCTTGAAGTTTTGTTGAACCCCGGCAAATGGGAGTGTAGCAGCGGCTGTTAGAGATGGCATCCAATCTTGATGTGCATATAAAGCAGAGTGATTATTGAGTTTCTTACTGCAGAAGGCCAAAGGTCCATTGACATTCATGTGCAGTTAAAGAAAGTTTATGATGACTGTACTGATGATGTGAGTACCATCAGGCGTTGGGTGAACCATAGGAGGGGCACTGTGAAGGAGTGGCCTGGCAAGGCAGGCAAGGACTTCTACCAAGCAGGAATGCGAGCTTTTGTTCACAGATGGCAGAAAACCATTGATGTGGATGGGGACTACTTTGAAAAGTAGCCTTCTGTTCACAGACAAACCTTTCTGTAAAGATTCACATGTTTAAATTAAAACTTGGCTGAGAAAAAAACTTTAAGGCATTACTTTTGGAGTGATCCTCCTATTTCAGTTCTTGACCTTGAGCCTCTGATGATCTTCTCTGTCTATCTTCTTTGACTCAATTGTGTCTCAGGATGTAGTGGAAGTTGACTCAACCGCAGACCCTCACACTGATCAAAGTGGTAATGTTTTGCAGAGGAAAGGCAACATATAAAAATGAAATCCATTTTACATGGTGTGAAAAGGGGGCGAATGCATTAGTAACTTTGAACACCCAAAACATCATTCAGTTTAGCATCCATATTTTATTACCCCACCAGTTATTGCTACTACCACAACTATGGAAATATTGCTCTACTGGGTGTCTCAGATAGATGCACCCCCCCTCCCCAGGGAAAACTATGATGATGAGGAAAGCAATTTATATTCAGAATTCTCATTCAATTTCTGTTCTAATTAAGTATTTGATTCCCTTTCAGGTGCCTTATGACAGTGAAAAGATGAGATTTGTTGATCGCATACGAGTGATCACACTCCTTAAAGCTAGTCTTTCTTTCTTGTCTGAATGGGACAAGGAGGATTTCATTCATCTTGCCCCATTAAACGAATTTTTCATTTGAACTGTGTGCCACCCAAATATGAGAATGACCAAGTTTGCGTTGAAGAAATTACCAAACCACAACCTGTCTTCCAAGTTTAGGGCTGATGTCATGGACTTTTTGTTGACATGAAAAGGCTTGAATCCCTGGTTCTGAAGTTCCCAATGGACAGTAGCACGACTGCACTTCTTTCCCCATTCTTTTTCCAACAGACGTAAAAGAATGGACACTTCTTTCCAGCTGATTCCGCGATTATGTCCATGGACTCCTGGAAAAGACCGATCCGATTCTAATTTGTATTGACAAAAGTTTAAGATCTCTTGAGCTCTTCATCGCGAAGTGAAATTTTAACCTGCATCATCAGCTTCATGAAAAATTATCGTTCTAGTGCAATTTAAAAATTTCGTTTTTTCATTGTCACAAGGCATATCTGGAAAGGAACAAAATACAGTCGACTCTCGTTATAACGAAGTTGATGAAGCCACCGGAATTATTTCGTTATATCTGGTTTTCCTTATATCAGGAGAGCGTTGTATATTTCCAGTTAGAGAACTGAATTCCGTTATGCCTGTATATATATGATTATTATTCCGTGAGTGTACTTTGGGGTCTCACGGCTTTTGAGGGTTTCATGGACGACAGTACTTTAACACCTTCGCTGCCACATATCCGCTGGTGGGTCACGTGGCATCCGCGGTTAAAGCGTCGGAAATAGCGTTGGTAGCTGACATCTTAACCCTTACGCTGCGAAAAGCGACTTCTGTTGCTTCCTGCAATATTGCTATTGGCTACGTGCCAAAATAAATTACGCAGCGAAAGGGAAGGGTTAAATGCGTAAATGCTTCTGCCGTGTAAAGGGCATGGTAAAATGAAACTAGCACGGCATCATTGGAACTAGGGCTGTACCGGTGGCCACATGTGACCGATGGCCGATTTTTTCCTCATAACCTTGTGTCAATTGTGGCCTGTAGAAGACATCGCATATAAATTCAAATGGGCCTAATTGGAAGCCAATGTGATACTTATCAGTAGGCCTTATTGAAACGATAGAGACCACTTTTGGTCCTGTCCAGCCTGTTGTGTCTCTATGAGGCTGTCAGTGGTTAGATTGTTATCCATTGCTGCTGTTGAGAGCATTTAGTGACACATCCCTTGCAAAAGCATAACCTAAGTGGAGACGCAATGACTTCCTTCTTTACCGCTCCTTTCCTCTGCCGGTTCCTACCCTGTATAATCCGGCTGCAATATAATGTGATTGATATTTTTGTCTGGGAGAGGCTGGCAGGAGTGGCTTTTAGTAAGACAGGAGGGCCGGCGCCTAGCCGCGTTTACACCCTCCCATAAGTCGCTTTGCCCGTCCTTTGGGCACCGGCGCCATAGGCCAATGGCCGATAGTGCAACACCGGCGGCCGATACTGGTGTTAGCCGATACATCGGTACAGCCCTAATTGGAACAAAGGAGCCCGATAAAAAGCTGCTGAGCGCGCCCACTGAAGTGCTTCGTTCACAGCATCTTCCGGGTTCACATCCCCCGCCACACGCACATTCACCCTCATTCACATTCTATCACGCATATTCTGCACGCGCCAAATCCTTGGTTCTCATAGGCCGTGCAGCTGAAGACTGACCCTTCTGCATTTCCGTTAAGAGGGAGAAAAAAAAATTATTTCCTTCAAGACGGTGAAGACATTCGAGGCCTTCTTGCGGATATGGCGCTAACATTCAGAAATTGAACTTAAAAACGAAACAGTCCTTTTCAGGGCTATCACAAATATTGGGAAGAGCCTTTACGGTAGTTCACACCGCATACGCTGTGTAGACGACTGCATCGCGGTAGCTCACACCTCATACTTATGCCGAAAATTCTTTTTTATCACGCGTACTTTCTACATGTGGGACACAAATTCTTTCGTAGTAGCCGAAATTTCTTTATATCCGCTTTTTTTTTCTTTTTTTTTAGCATGGGTCTCTATGGACATTCGGCCGGGCAACGTCAAGGATTTCGGCAAAACCGGTTTTTCGTTATATCGAGAGTCGACTGCAATTCGTTGAAACAGAAATTGAATGAGAATTCTAAATATATTTTGCTTTCCTCCTCGTCATCATCGTTTTCCCTGGAGTGGGGGTGCAACTATCTGAAACACCCTGTACTTATACCATACTTGCTCCTTCACTGAATACTTAGGCTTTTCGGTTAAGCTATGACCACCTGAAATGAAAAGAAAATCAAATTTCAATTACCTTTTTTTTTGGACCATCCTGTATATGTTTCCATATAGTGAGAGAACGCAAGTTAGTCAGCATTAGACAAGCTCTCGTGAAGGCAATCATCGACTCTGACAGAAGGCGTTCATTGGGAGAAGGGAATCAGTGGAACCAGTACCATTCATGTTTCAGAATAGGTCTATGGGGTGAATCATGAAGTGAATAGAACCCCTTCTATGAATGTGTGGGAAAAGTGCGCTTGGCTTGATGCTACTGCATGTCAGGCAGCCTTTAAAAATCCCACCTGGTGCATCTTAACTTCACCAACTAGGTGAACAATGAACAAAGCCCCCAAGGTTACTTTGTGGAGAGTGCCCATGATATAAAAAAAAAAATACAAGGGGTTCAGAAGATAAAAAGTTGCTTTATTGTTCAGCATTAGAGATCCGACAATTGCGCAAGAGTGCCTGGATACGTTCCAAGATTATCTCATTCTTAGAATAGCAAGATTCGGGGACATAGGGAGGAGAGATGATTAAGACATCACCAAGGACATGAATGTCCTGGTTATTGGGACTCATTTGAGGCTCAAAGCGATTCTCAACAAGCCATTGGTAGACATGTTCACGACGACGGCTCTCTGCCTCAGGAGTAAAGTGTCCGTGTCCTTCACTGTGACACTGGAAATGGGGAGTGAATGCTCGGCACAAAGCGAAGATCAAGTCATCAACTTGCCTTGGATTTTCCTGGTCACAAGTGTATGCTTTGATTCCATCCCCATTGAACCATGTTATCTTCACCTTCTGCTGCCCATCACTCTCTCCTTCTACCTTGTTTGCCACCACCATGCTACAAGCACAGACAGACGCATCAATATCTATTAATATTTTATAATGTTATCAATTCAACTTTGGTGTCATGAACAAATCACATCAATTCATCTGTCGACATTTCATGAATATTGGCACTCAAGAATCTTTGAGGAGAGTTCATGCTACTTTATTACATTTATTAATTTATATTTATTTATCTTTATTACTACAATTAGCTGTTTTAGGTATAAGGAAAGTTCTGATCGGCAAATCATGACACGCTTTAAGAAAACTTGGTCAATTAATTGTTCACTCATATCACACGTGGAGCCCCATACATAGGAATGCATTGAACCTGGCGAAGAAAGAGGCAGCACGTCTTGAAGATAAAATGTGCATAAGCGCAGCGTGGATGGGGAAAGGGGGGGTGAGGCGGCGGCGGCGCGGGAACTCTGAGACATGCATTTTAGTTATGCATTTTAAGGGTCTTTTCCTCCTATTTTTTTTTGCTTCTTTTCTTGAAAAGTGGGGGGCATGTGCCTCCTCAACTTTTTTTTTTTTTACATCTGCACCTGCAGCCAATCCTTCATTCTATCGGTCGTTTCGTGGAATGACTTAAGAAAATCAAATCCCAGAAATGATATCCCAGCAATCGTGATTTTTAGTGACACCAAGGTATGGTTTATTGTAATGAAGGCAAAGAGAAATGAATGTAAAAAAGGATCTGACCTTCGAGTAACAGGGTCGAGGGCATAGAGATGCCCAACGTGCTGCCTCCCGTCCACTGTTGATATTCTAACTTCTTGCCCTGTCATGGCATTCCCCTCCATTCATTGGCGTCAGCATCAATTCGTTCAGAAACTTCACCCCAGCTCTCCTTTCCACTTAGTAACCAGGCAGGATCAGACTCCAAATTGCGGGCCGTCTTTGTCACGTGAATGGACTAGTTCTGTCTTGCCAGGGTGCAGAAACCCCTGGGTTCGTCCAAGAGACTAAAACATACCGATCACATGGTTCAACACTATGTATACCTTTCGTAACTCGCTTATAGATGGTTCTTAATTCGTTTCGCAGAAAGTAAGACAGGAATGCTGGCGAAGGAATCGGAGAGAAGTAATTCAGTTCAGGCAAATCTTAATCCGCTTTCGTCCGTGAGAATTGTTTTGCAGCCAGAAACATGATGAGGTGTGGAAATGCTTGTTCGATGTTTCGTGTCTAACATTCTCAGATGCGAAACGGATTATGGACTGGAATATCAAGATCGTGAGTGGAATCTCAAGTTCGCCGACGGGCGGATTTCTTCCAAAATCCCCATACAGAACAGACAAGCAGACAAAGCTATTGCGGATGAAAACAGAACTTAAATTGCAGTATTTCCTGCTATAGAGAGGGTCGAATTTACATGAATTTGCACAATTTGAAATTGCTCTTCCCGCGGTCTGTTATGGGGCATTTCTTTGAGAGGAAGAGAAACGATATTTCATTTTCAGAGCTAGGAAAACCTATTGGGACCACGGAAAAGCCTCAAACTTAATCTCCATTCCATTATACGAGTACTCAGCCTCATATTTCAGCAGGCTGAGATAAAGCTTCTAAATATTGAAAGCTGTTGCTCACTTGTTGCCAAAAAAAATCCAATGGAGTTATGTCAGGTTATCCTGAAGTCAACATTATGTTTGATCCTCGGCCAATCAAGCGGTCCGGGAACTTCTCATTAGATAATTTCGCACAATGTTCGCGAAATGAAACTTGGGCTTCAAAATCCCCTGACCTAATCCCCTTTGACTTTTTTTTTTGCATAGGGGTACATAAAGTCAAATGATAACAGCAAAAGGTTCTCATTTTTGAAGATTTAAGAGATCGTATCTATGCTGCTGTTAACACCATAATCCCCGACATGCTGAACATCTGAATGCTCAGGGAAACAACGGATCGATTGCAGTTATGTATCGATTTGAAAGGTGGTCATGCGGAACTTAAGTTTAAAAATGTTAATAACTGATTTTTAATTTGGTCACCAGTTTTATTTAGTTCCTTATTGACAAGGTGAAGTGCACATTATGGATTTTTGTAAGAATTTTGAGTTTATCAATAAAATAGATTGGGGCTTTATGATCGCCCTGTATATTTGGTGCTACATGATTACTTCTTTGCTGTGAAATGATTCAGTCTATTGAAGAGAAGACTGACAAGAGGTTGATCTTCAATATTGATAGTTATACTGCTCTGCTTAAGAGGTGGGAGACTCCACCTCGACAAAAACAGTTTCAAGCCCTTTTGAGTCGTTCATTTCTGAACGAAGGAACACGGATGTTCCTGGTGCTCAATCTCTTCTGATACATGCGACTCACTTCGAGGAAAATTTAAGCTATTGTACAACTACGTAAGAACTTCAAAAACTTCACTGAACTTGTCTTTCAGGTGTACTTAGAAATCATGCCCTTCCATAAAGAGAAGATATTTCAAAATTTAATAGGAGGGGGGGGGAGGGAGATAGAGGCTGGAGCACCATGAACCATTTTTAAATATAAATTTTTAGCTCTTTAGAAGCCGCAAACTTCGCAGAAAGTTGATGATATATAATTTGATATGTTCCTCACATCTTTCATGAGTAGAAAGGCACAGTGGAAATCCAGATGAAACTTCTTTCCAAGTTTATGTTCAAATGGTTGTGCACCATTCCTTGGCACGATGAGACATGAACTGAAAGTGGGGCACCAAAGACAGTCTTATTTTTATCACTATTTCATAAAAATTTCATACTAATTGGAGAAAAACAATCCTTTTCATGCTCTCCCCAAATTCAAAATACCCATTTCACAATTTCCTCAAATTGCACGAAAACGAAAGCAGGGAACAGTGAACGCATGAGTGAACCTGCAGTGGTTTTTGGAGGCATACATTGTGAATTTCGTCACAACACCTCCGATTTTCTAGGTGCTGAAGGGGATGGTCCATCGTGCCCCACTCTCCCCCTACAAATTTTGCAATATCGGCAAGGTGAACATGGATGAGTCTTGATGTGCATAGCTCAAGGAGGTTTTTAATATCACAACTCATCAATAATTTTAGCAGGTTTTCTTTATTCCAGAGGGAAATAGCAACTGTGGAAAGCCTCTGCCGCCACGTACTCCATGCTTACCTTTCTTAGAAAGCCTAATTCATTTTTACTCCAACAATATTGGGGAATACAGTGCCAGAGAGTTCAGGATGTAGACCAGTCTTCGGCATGGACTAGCTCAAGACTGACCCACGTTTTTCAGTTTTGAAATAGTGGATTCATAGCCATACTTACGCCTCTATTCACTTGCATCTAAAATGAACAAAGTAATGAGGGTTAAGGGTCTCCCCTTCATATGGGAATTGATATGTGAGCACCAGCCTCCGTGGAGAAACTTTCTCATGTCCAAAAATCTATGCCAGTGGTCTCTGGAAGAATCTGAAAATGTGGAGTTCTGCCAAGAATTATGATTAATTTATTACGCGACACTCTTTCATGAACTATTGAAGTTGAATGTTCCGAGTTTATTATGTGAAATACACTATGAGCAAACTCAATGCCATCTTTCCGGAAAAATGCACGAAGTCTTCATGGAATCTTGATGGAAGACAACCATATGATATAGCAATATGACCATAATGATGCAACAATTAAGAAACGTTTTCCGTTTTCTCAGATAAGCGGAATTTCAGCCGTACCAGTATTATTTGGAATTCTTGCTCTAAAACACTCAATCACAATCGTGCATGGACACACCTACATTCCTACCGGATTATCTTATATGTTCCATCAGCAAGAGAGGCTGTCTGATGGAGCAGATGGAGGGCGTTTCCCCCACATTCTCCCAGCAAAGTTACCCTATTTGTGAATCAATCATCTATGACAGTTGAGTAACACGCCATATACCTACATCTTAAAAAATCTAAACTCCCCATCTGAAGTACTTTTTTTCGCAAAATATTACGATCCCTAAAGCGGAAAATTACGAAGAAAACGGAAAACGTATGGCACTACTCATTAGACTGGACAATTTGTTTACAAACTTGCGCTGAGCGGAAATCCCCTATGGGTTAAAAACTTTCGTAATTCATATCTGAACCCGCAAGTGAAGCATGACGCATTAAACACATACAAGATTGCAAACTGTAAATGAAGCATCTTATACACTGTGCAATTATCGACAAAAACACGTGAACATGATAGCAAAGAAGCTCTACTTGTCCTTTTCGCGCAGGTCCTCTTCATGGATGGGATTGGGCTTGTTTCGAATGGGATCGGATGCTTCTCTCCAGTCATTGTCATATGGAATGGTGAGAGGCTTCTGGGAAACCCTACTAAGCATCTGTGATAGACCGAGGAAAGACGTACTTCGCTTCATGCCCCCTTCACCTGGCCCATCGTTAAATGACTTCGATAATCCGATCCCAACTCCAGACAACTGCCCTGCCTTCATTACTCCGTATAGGTAGGCCTTCCCGTGGTTGAAGCCCACATCCTTGATCTCATCAAAGCTTCCAAATTGAAGCGTCTGATACCGATCGATCGGAGGGCGGATGTACTCGCAGTAATCGCTGTTCTTCACTTCCTCCAATTGTCGAACGCAGGAGACATAAGCGAGTCGGGACTGGATGTCTGCGAGGGAAGGGATGGACACAGGTGGGGACCACGGCCACCATTTATTCCAAAGGAGCCACCATCCATTAAGGCTATCCCCATAGAATGTCTCTTTTCCCTCATCCTCAGACCCTACATCCACCGCGATTATCGTCTTAGCACCTCGACTCCTCATCACATCTGCAGGCAGATTGTTTACATAACCACCATCTAAGAGAAGGTGGCCGTCTTGGGGATCACACAACGGAGGCATGTAACCCGACAAAGACATAGATGCTCGAACGTATCTCCATAGGGATCCATGCGTGTGGATCCTCATTGCACTCGCTGTCACGTCCGTCGTGATCGTGAAGTACGGGATCCACAAATCTTCAATGTTTCGTTCTCCCAGGGATTCCTGGATCACCTGGTTGAATCCCTTCCCTGTGAACATGGCCGTGATAGGATACGTGAGATCCATGATCTGCCGCCGTCTTTGTGTCATTTTGACAGACCATTCCCGAGCCTTTTGGGTCACGCGAGTTATGTCCGTTTCCATGCACCACAGGGCACCAACGAAGGCTCCAATGCTTACACCCCCAACCATGTCGATGGGGATTCCGGCATCTTGAATGGCCTTGATCATGCCAACGTGAGCTGCCCCTCGAGCACCTCCGCCCCCAAGGACCAGACCCACAGAGGTACCGGTGAGAAGACGAGCGAGGCGAGAGAAGTCTGACAGGGGATCCGGGGGCGATGCCATCACTCTCTGGTAGACTTCCAACGTCCGTGCTTGGGAACGTTTGACGAACATCCTGCTGGGGCATCGAATGTGGTGATGAGCAGAGCAGTAAGAGCGCATGTTCATCCAGGCAGCGGTGTTCCTCGGTGGACGAGCATCATGAGTATGTAGAAGAACCAACTCTCGTTGAGTCCTGACGGACAAAAGCTCCAGTTGCTTCTCCATCTTACCCACTACCATCGGACCGGATGCATTTGCCACAATCAAGATACAGTCTGCCTGCCTCACGCATCGCATGGTCCAGAGGGAATATGTGAAATCACACTCATAGATCACCATTCGATGCTTGTCTTCTTGCTGACCCAACCAACGAGAGAGACGAAATTCATTGGAAGCATCGAAGATCCGATCCCCAAGTTGTTCCACGACATATTCCGACGTTAGACGAATGACCGGACCGATGGCAGAGAGGGAATGATAGAGTTCTAGAGAAAACGGAACCAAGGGAACATCATCTAGGACGGGCAATATGGCCAAAGTGTTCATGTTACTCTGACTAGGTCGGAGGTCGATGGGTCCAGTCTCTTTCTTCTGCCATGTTCCAAGGATTCGATGGCCAAGCAGCTTGATGAGCTTCGTCACCACACTGGGAAACTTCCATTTAAGATAATTCAGAAGACCTCCACTGAGTTTTGCTAATTCCGTATCTCGGATGGCCATGACAGTCGTGCTCCTCTGGGTGTGGGTGAGCAATTCCACAATCCCGACAAGGTCTCCACGACCATACTCACCGACCAACTCCTTCTTACCCGAAGCCTCATTGGCGATCACAGACCGAAGACGTCCACTCAAGACGATATATGTGCTATCCGATTCTTCCCCTTGCCTGTAGATGGCCTTCCCTGGCTCTATATTGATCCAGTCCAGGGCAAAGTCGATCTGCCTCACCACAGGTGAAAGGTTGCGAATGACGGCATTGACGACGTGAAGGACGACTGACGGTCTTTCGGCGACTAGTTCGATAAGTTTCTCCTTGCTGAGGACTCCCACAACAGCAGGGAAATCTGATTCCACGGGGCATCTGATGGTGAAATAACTGGGCTCCCCGGTCAAGACGGAGAGACCACCGAGGATCTCTCCTTCCTGAGCCACGAACAGCTTTTCCTTTCCCCCAGTGTTCTCATCGTTTTCAAGAACCACATGGAGGACCCCACGACGAACATAGTAGATGGCAGAACCATCACTTGAATCCTGGTGGATCAGGGTGTTACCTCGCCCTACTTGCTTCAACGTGACCTTCCCTCGCAATGTGGTGATGTCATCGATGCCGAGGCACATTTGAAATCCCTTTAATACTGCTTCCATATCCTCTTCCTTCGAGGGACTGGGCATGCCAGGGGAGTGCCTCCCCTGGAAATCCACATGTTTCTCCTGATTCTCGTCTGACCGCAGGTTGTAGGGTTTGAGGATTTTTGATGCCAATCCGAGATGCTGAAGGAGTGCCGTGAGAGTCACCCTCTGAAGGCGCATCATGATGACTTCCACAATACGGATCATGCTCTCCGGGTGACGGTCCAACACAGGTTGAAACGCGGAGACAGGAAGGCGCAAGACAAGGGAATCCTTGACGGCTCGGGCATAGAGCGTCTTGAAAGGCTGCTGGTGACCGGTGAGACAGTCGGCAAAGCTCAAAAGGGAGATGATAGCATCTCCCGGCGGGACTTTCTTCAGGGAAATTTCTGACCCTTCCGCATTGGTGAGGTATACATCCAGAAGACCCTCTTGAACGACATACACGTTTTCATCAGCATCCCCAACCCGAAAGAGGAAATCTCCAGCCGTGAGATTTAGGGTCTCCAGACTTTTGCACAGCTCGAGGAATACGGGTTTCTCGAAATGACCGAACACGCGGATGGATCGGAGCATGTAGAGAACTTCGGGTGGCAACCAGTCATCTTTATTGGTGGTAGAATCAGCTTCTAGATATGCATCAGGTGGCTCCAGGACTGTCAGCTGAGGTGGCATATGGGATTCCTTCTTGAGACGCAAAAGCTGCTTGGCCATCTTCACCACGATCTGCTTCCGTCTCCCTTTTGGAATGGCTCCCACAGTCCCTGAGAAATTTTTCACTTTTCTCAGCATCTTCTTGCCGTAGAAGAGGACCTTGTCCCTTCGCCGGAAACGCGCTCGAGTCGAGGCTTGATTCGGCTCCGCATCTGTTCTTTGTGGCCTCCATAGTCTTTGACAAAGGAAGGTGAAGGTGATCACGAGGAAAACTGCCACTATCCCATATATGCGATACTCAAAGAGAAGGCAAGCAACCCAATGATACTCATCGTGCAATGGGTTATTAGCTGTCGGGGATGCCTTCATAGTCTTATATATATATATACATTTCAATCTGGAAGGAAAACATGACAGCGGATGAAATGGAGAGGGAAGGTAGCAGCAAATGCAGTTATATCCCAAGTACAGAGTGTCCAATAAGTCCCTTTACCCCCTTTTTTCCTGGTGAATTGCAGTAAGGATTTGTGTAGAAGGCGGAAGATATCAGTGACCAAAGGCCCTTTACATAGTCGAACGAGTGTTATTAAGTGTCACAATAAATGTAAAAATACATTTAAAAAACGAAATGCATACGTTTCATTTTGCTACCCTATTCTACAGGGTGGTCCATTTAAATGAAACCATAGGGAGTAACAAAAACTGAAAAGTCTATTTAATTTATTTATAGTAACAGTTTTCTTTCTTACGTGAGATTTATTCAACACAGTTGGATACAACACAGTCTCTTTAAATTTGGACAATAACTTCACAACGCAACTGTGAGTAATAGATTCACGATCTGGATTGGCTTCATTCAAGTCCGCAGCTGTCTGCCTTGCGGTACGTGAACCACACATCAAAATGATTTGCACCCTTTCTTCTTTGGATAAATGCATTATCTTCACTATACCCTCACAAATCTGAATCTGATACAATAAAATACTGATTATTCCATGTGGTTCCATATGGAAGAGCTATCTATAGGTCCTTGAACAACTCTTTTTTTGACATCAAATTTCAAGGATAAAACTATAAGTCTTTTTTTCAGCCATCAACTAGCCAATCCTTTGTACGTTTAACCATTGAAGATTAAAACTCAACAACGGCAATCATCAGGCCAAACCTTATTAATTTCAGGGAAATTGAACTGCCAAGTCCTCCTAACCAAGAAAGAGCATAAAATGCTTTTAATAGGGGGGAAAATACACATAAGCATGACATCGTTTCAATAACCAAAATTCATGCTACAATTCTGGTTAAAAGACCATACCTGTCAGAGGCTACATTACACTTCTTACGTGCCAGTCAAAAGTACCCCTTTGTGCAAATTCATAAAATAGAGCTTCATATAATTTCTCTTGCAAATTTTCCTGAGATGAAAGTCAACAACCCATTCCTGCTTGTAAGCAGAGCCTATCAATCAGTTGATTGATGACTAGGGCACATGATAAGGTTCCTACAGGGCATACATAAAAAGCGTATAATTAGGTGAGTCTCTCTTTGGTACTCAAAAGGAATTATATAATTTTTGTGGCTTAAGTTTTCTCGCAAGATCATCTTGTTTCTAAAAAAGATTTAACGCTTGAGTCAATGATATTTTTGCATGGTTTCAAGCTTCAACTTTCTTTCTGAGGCAACTCATAAAGGTCTTTAGAAGACAGCATACATTTTGAAAGACTACCAATTCCCAACCTTCCAGCACAGCAAGGATTATGAAACATTTCCATCCAGAAAATTGGCATACTTTTTTTAAGTGAGGAAAAGCAAAGTAATAAATAAAAATTCCTTTTTTAAAAATATTATATTAAGGGTACCGGAAAGTAAAGTCTTTTTTTGTATACCAAGTGTAAACTTTATTTATGATGTGTTTTCGTTTGTTTTGAAGTGAATTTAATTCATTAATCTAAAGAACTGTTATTTGTCATACATTTTTCGATAACAAAACTTTATCTTTCCATTAACCTTTGGTTATATACCATAACCTAAGGTTAATGGACCTTCCCGATCTGTTGAAGGTGTTCTTGAACACTAGACCACGAATAATTAAGTTTTCTGCCGATTGTTGGATGGTTTGACCGGGGTCTGACTCAACCTCCCACCTCAGGAGATCGTTCTTCAGCTCTACCGGTCTTCTCGAACGATGGCCATCCGAGAGGTCAACATCGCCTGACCGGAATTTATTGAACCAACCCTGGCATTTGCGGACATCCAATATATCTCTATAAACACCAAAAATACTTTTTTTGGCCTCCGTTGCCTTACTTCCCTTACGAAACTCATAGAGCATAAAATGTCGTATTTGGATCTCTTCGGGAATGTGGTCAGACATTTTTGCTGAAGATGAAAAAAGTTTTGTTATCGAAAAATGTATGACAAATAACGGTTCTTTAGATTAATGAATGAAATTCCTTTCAAAACAAACGAAAACACATAATAAATAACGTTTACACTTGGTATACAAAAAAACGACATTGCTTTCCGGTACACCTAATATTAATACATATATTATTCATATTTTATTAAGAAAAAAATAAAATCAGTATTACAACTCCTTTTACTTGTTGTTGTAGAACTCTTTAATTTATTAGCATTCTGTAAGGAATTAGCTAAATGGATGCATGCAACCTAAACAGTTATTTTCGCTGTTTCCTTTTATTTCTTGATTCAAAATTTAGGTGCGTTATACATTTTGGCTTTAGCAAAATGGTGTTTAACTTGAAAGACAAGAAAATGTTATCTGATGATGTACTGCCCAAGTATCAGTTGGAGAACTTATTGGGTGGGAGCCAAAACAATCCCTCAAGCAATAGATATTAAAACTTGATTTCATCCCATTAAAGGCAGATATTAGCAGCTTTGAAGAAAGTTTAAACCACCAGATAAGCACCAAATATAACATTATTGATATTAATGCTCAATGAAAATATTGCAATTTAAATTCTCTTTTAACATTCCAAGTGCAGAAAAGCACAGCCATTCTGGACATAGACCTAATAATAAGCTGGATCAGTTTCCTGATTTTTACATACCTCTGCTAAATAAACTTGCCCCATGGCTTTCTCCATGAACTCTGTATTGGAGGTGCAATCTTTGAGAAGAATGCCTAAAAGCAGGCAAGGCTATTGAACAGAGATATGCATGTTAATGTAAGGGATGTGGGATGTCCTCATCAAGACCAGCAACTGCCAACACTTATGCACATGAATATTGCAACATTCAGGAACCATATAAACCCATTTGCCCAACAGACACTCTCTGTAGGATGCAGAGTGGGAAACCAATTAATAGGTTACAATACGAAAAAAAGACCTTCATTATAAATCTACCTTGAACATCATGAATGAATGGACAGCTCTACCAAGGAAGTCACAGATCTGTCTTCATGTTCATGAAATCAACAATATATGACACTTCTAGACTAGTCCTAATTGATGATCAGGTGCGCAGGACTTTAGCCTCTCGTTGTTCCCGTAGTTCCTGAAGCTGTTTCTCCACAAATTCCCTCGTCCTTTCCAGGAACTCCCCATGCTCTTTGGGATCAAGGTCTCCTTTCACCACCTCAATCCCCACTGTTCTTGCTGTGCCTATGATCCTCTTACAAAGCTCTTCTAGGGTGCACAACTGGTTTGCTCTGTCTTGGCTTTTGATCATGGCTATCTCATAGATGTGTTTCAGGGTTACCTTCCCAACTATGTCCCGACCTGTTAACCCAAATCATTGTACAAAGAAACAGGTGAAAGAACTAGCCAAGGAGGTAAAGAAACACATCTTAATGACAAGGAATCAAGACTACAGTCATATACAATTAAATAGGGCTGACTTCCTTTTTATCTTATTTCAGGATATCTTAATGAAATTATTTTGCAATGCAAAACATGTATCAGAATATGTTATGTCATACAAAATTTTTTCATACTTGGACTTAGATAAACTTTCCAGTCTTACATGAAAGGTTCAAAGGCATTTTGTCAGGTGACAATTATTTTGTTCTATCTCTAATAATTATAATTTTGAGAAAAGGGCAAAAGCAACTTCCGAATTTGATTACATAAATACTGCCGAACCCTTATGAACATCCACAAGCATTTCCTCATCAATTCCCTTCCTGTATTCAATCATGCATGCATAACTAATTTTGGATTATTCATAAATGGGCAATGAAACTCCTTAGAATGGAGTTAGGACAAATTGATTAAAAAATGATATTTGATGAAAATGATTGATGCTAAAATGGTATATATCCAGGGACTGCTTTATCCATGAGGATGTGTGCAAGAATACCCCTTCAGCAAAACAGAAAAAAAGTACTTTGACCCATAATATCTTAGAATACTGAAATGAGATCTCCTCACTCTATAAAGGTGATAGTAACATACTCATTGAATGCCTGATGCTAGTTCTAGGTAAGTTCCAGATAAAACAGAAAGCTGAAATTTGGTTGCATAAATAATTTTCCAGATGCTGACTTCTGAGAAAATCTTCCTTTAAGAGTGAACTCCTTAAGAGCACTTATATGCGGGGCAGGGTGGTTTTTCTGGAAATTTTATTGCATTGGGAAAGTGATGGTTGCAGTTATGTCACAAAAGGTTCTGTAGTCCTATGTAGGAGAAATTCAGATTTGGGAATTTGAGGAAGAAATACCTCCAAATCTCCTCATCTTCAGCAAAAATGTCTGACCACATTCCCGAAGAGATCCAAATNGAATTTGAGGAAGAAATACCTCCAAATCTCCTCATCCCCCCCCCCCCCCCAAAAAAAAAATATTATGTTGGTTTTTTTTTTTTCAGGGGACACCCTGTGTTAGAATATCTTGAGATGAAGCTCAATAGGGGCAATCACCCTCAGTTTCTGTTTTACTTTAGAGTCCACGATGCTTCATTTTTCTGGTGGGTGATGCCCTCTGCAAATGCCACCTTTAAAGTAAAGATTGCTGGATATTTCTTGGGGAAGGGGCAGTTTCTGCCCTGAATTCACGTCAGTAAAAGTATTCAAATTTGATAAAGATATTCTCAAAAATATACTATATGGACAAATAATGCTGTCAGATAAGTGGGTCATTACTTGAAAAATCAGCAAAAAATTTTTTTAAATAACACCTTAGTATCTCCAATCTTGATTAAATTTGATAAACAGGGTTCTCCTGTCCCCAATTCCAGAAATGTCAAATTTCAGTCTCATCAGGTCAGTAGGTCATATGCTACAGGGTAATCAAACTTTAGGGCAACATCCTAGTCAATGATTTTGATACCAAGAACTGTTCCTGTAAGAGCCTTTAATAAGGTGTAAATTCATTGCAAATTATGTGAGGAATTCAAAATTGGCCTAATATCATTGGTGAAAAAAACACACCATGTTACTTATGGACAAAAAACCATTGAACTTTAGTTGAAACTGCAACAATTATAATCTAAAAAAAATTCCATGAAAAGGTGTATGGCTCTACTACTAATAGGTAAAATTACATAAGAGTAATGCTTTTATATTATATATATTTTATATATCAATTAAAATGGACAGGAGAAGATGAAACTAATATTTATCATACTAGCAGCTAAATTCTCATTGTCAAGGTAAAGGTAGATCACACAACTCTAAAATGGACAAAATATTTGTTACGCACATCATTCATCATGATCCTTATTATTCTTTTGCAGGAGACAGAAGCCATCTGTATTGCAGATGTCAATAGCCAGATATATCATCTTGTCCTATATATTGTCAAAGCCTGTAAGTTCAACAGTATGTAAGCAACTTGTCCTGGGGGTGGTCTTTAAATATTATTTGAGGTAAAGGCTTTCTATAAGTGGCCCTAAAGATGTGTTCTATGCTTTGTGTTTAACCCAACTCCTGAACTCTAATGATAAACACTTTTCATGAAAGATCTCAATATGATCACACATTTTCCTGAAAATCTAAGTGTAAGACCTTGGACCTGCATGTCATTGTCATTGTCACCCCAAAATTGGTCTACAAATAATTCTGATTTGTTGATGAGCATATACCAATACAGGAATTAGAATTCTGGTTTTTGGCACTTAGAACAAAATGATTTTGATGAATTTATGCAAGGTTTGCTGCATGGTACTATGAGAACTCAGCACATAACAGCAGATGAGTGCTGCCTGTTGGGTGCACCAGGCCAAATCCAGTGGCAAGTGGAGATAGAAAAACATAATCAATTACTGATGATTACAGAGATTATGGGATTTTTTTGCTGCTTGCATTTAAAATCACACAAATGCCTTACCATTGGCAATCAAATGGTAAGTTTTTGACAAAAAGTAACATTTTATCATCATAAGAGCCACTTTCCCTGCATGCATATGCACGCAATATCTACCAGTCAAGGTTAACACTGCCAAACTAGAAGCATAGAGTGGATGAGAGACTAACAGTGACTGATGGTAAAGTGTGGCCACTGTAAGACCTATCAGCCACTTAGATAAACCAAGTGTAACCTGGGAGCCCCCTCTCTCAGATGGAGTTGGAACCAAGTTGATGTCCAACAAGTATTTTTGACCAAGTGGATGTCCTCCAATATGTATCTGGAACCAGATGGATGTCTCCCCTGGTAATATTAGTAGCCAGGAGGGTTGATTTCCACCTAGAGGACCATATACCTGGTTCCAAGTCCACCAGGGAAATGGATGTTTTATAAGGGTCAAAGCTCTGTGCGCTAAAAGACCAATTGTTTAAAGGCCTATCATGCATGATAGATCAACCAGAAGTGCACATCACAATGTTCATACATTGCAGGGAGCCATGAAAATGATGGTCAATAAACTCATTGAACTGGAATACTTGGTATTGCTTTCAGGCCCAATGTTGCACCTCTGCAACAATATAATTAAAAGCGAGTACTGATGCCTTTATGATCGAAATCACACATGGAGATCCCAATTCAAGTTATTGGAAGACATCTACTTGGAGGAAAAAGTAATTGGAACAGGAAATTTATATTTGGTTCCAGAAGATTAATTGAATTTTGTCTTATACTAAGGTTATACTTTGTCTCAAGCTAAGAGTTATAATTAAAAAAAATCAAATACTCACCTTCAAAATGTTAATGTATTCAAATTTGTCCACTACCTTACAAGTGTGAATTAATGAGAGTGTGAAAAGCTTGTGTAACTAACTTAGATTGAGATAATTATCCTTTTTTTTTTCAAAAAGGGAATGAAAAAACCCATTAACTTGACAATTAAGCTCCTCAAACAGTACAGATCAGGAGTGCCCAAAGTGGATGTTCTCTAAGGCACTTTATGTGCTGGATGCAGCCTGTGGGCTGCACTTTGGGCACCCCTGATATAGATGTTACCTGCTTGTCATCAACCACCATCAATCTTCCTCTTTCTCCTCTACAACCAATACCATGAACCTCATATATTGACCATCCACTCTTCATCTCTCATAAATAACATGTTTTCATTGATAAGAATTGATAGAAACCATGTTCTAGGACTGGATTTCTCCAGATAGGTCTTTTACCTGGGAACATGGTGCCACGGGGGATGCCAGCAGCCTGTTTGAGGAAGTATGTGACAGGTGGCTGAGTGATCTCAATGCTAAAACTTCTATCAGGGTGCACTGTCACCCTGGTGGGTATTGGGATCATTTCCTTGATGTCCTGGGTCCTCTCATTGAATTCCTTGCAGAACTGAGCAACATTGACCCCTCTCTGAAAGAGCAGTTTTTTTGCTTTGTTTTGTTTTGTTTTGTTTTGTTTTTTTAAAGGAAAGGGAGGGAAGGTTTGGGGTCACCCTTACTAATATGCAACTAAGTCTAACACAGGCTAATAATGAGGCATCCTATAGGTCAAACTAGGATGAAGTTGCCACTAACATATACAGAGACCACCTCAATGATTACATAAAGGCTATGTCAGTGCCATTTGCTAAAGCCTAAATGCAAATTTATTGTTTCAAAGAAATGTTATACATGAAATTTTATGGCTCTCTAACAACCACTAAAAAGCTTCCAGTATCACTCAACAATACAGAATTTAAGGTTGGATTAGGGCTAACTTTTATTTTGGATCACTTTCCTGCATGTGAATAGGGGAGACTGGGATACAGTGGGACAATAAAAAAAAAGCCTCTGGCACAAACATTTTTGGGAATTCAAATCATTCTTCTATTAGAGGACATTACTGACTATTAAAAAAATGTCAAGGCTCTCTTAATCCAAAGTGGCAGTTTTCTGCTGAATGGTGAAATTTAAAACGCTGTCAAAGTGTCCCACTGTACTCCTACCCTTAGGCACAGTGAGACAGGCAACAGGGTACTATGGGACATTACCTGCTTTTAATAAATGCCATAAAATGTTTTTTCAATATATATTTTTCTTATTGTTCGCAGTCAGAATTGCAATTTGCAGGCTTGCTTCTTTTTCTTGGTTTTGAAGGAAGCTGCCCTAATTCCAGTTTTTCTGGGGTCTGTTTCTATTCTTGATCTGCTGAGATGTCTCCTCTTTCTCTTTCAATGTTATAGTTTATTTTGCAAAACCTGAAAAAGGGAATTTATCAATAAATATAGCAGCATGTGGTTTCACATCTGCACATCCATTGGGACAGTCAAGGTTACATCCCAATCTACCCCATAACCAACTGTCCCACTGTACCCTGAGCAACCATTTTTGAACTCCATATTTTATGACCAATAATCACTCAAGCAATCGAACAAAAAAACCAATGAATAACTTTGGATAGAACCAAAGCACTGCCTATGAAATGAATGATGCAAATTAAGCAAAACATTTTTTATCTGATCAATTATTCTATCATGCAAAGTATTTTGTCAAGAGACAGAAAATTTGTATATCACTGATTATTTCCACACTAGCTACCTGATCACCACCAAATCTCATACAGATGTGAGGGGTGATATGATGGCTCTTGCAGTAATTTACATGCTTCTCCATCTAGTTCAAGGCCACAAAAAGTCCAATGTCCCACTTTACCCCAATCCCCCCTACCCCTTTGTGACTTCATGAATAACAATGCTAATATGGATCATTATTCATATTTCACATAATTAAATTTAACCCCCCGCTCCAGAATTGGGGAATAAAGGAGAATGGGGAGTAATTGTATGCCACAGTTGTTTACATGTTCCAGGTGGTCCTCATTTTTCCCATATGGCAACTTTTAGAATTTTCTTGTCACATTTAGTTTTCTTATATCCACTTTAATTTTACTCTGAAATTTTCTACATTAGTGTATACTGGGCATCCTAGAATACCAATCACATTTTGTAGCTAAGCACTATGACTAGACAATAGTTCCACAATTAATGTCTGAAATTAAGAAAAAGGGCATAAACACTTTTGTATCATCATAAACTAAACAGTTAAAGGAGAGAGCTAAAGAGCAATAAAATAAACCATATAGTGCTAGTGAAATTCTAGGACACATTCTGGGACTGTTTCCCTCTACAAGTGTACAGAACTTTCATAGTGCAGGTAAAGCAAGATCATGGAGTTATGTGGCAAAGCTGGTTGTTTCATAAATGCATAAAAAGTGATGCATGCACTTCATAACTTTTTGTATGTATATCCTTAATATGCTAATTAAGTATAATTCATGTAAAAGAAACTGCCCTGAATAAATATTTGAAAGAAAGCAATAAATTAAATCTATAGCAGTAGTATATAAAAGTGAGCCTCCAAGTTTCAGACAAGGGTTCAAATGAAGACCATATGTTTATCAGGAAAACTATTTAATGTTTAGTACATCTCGCTTTCATGGTCCCATTGACAGTCACAATGAGATTTAAATACACTGAAACACATATGCAACATTTGCTTGAAGGAAGAAATAAAATACAATGATATTTATTCACAGATTCTGCATGGTCATTAACATAAAAAGAAAGCTTCATTGGTAGTTAAGTGGAAAAACCAGGTCAGAAAAATCACAGTTGTATGGGGATTGGGGACACAGTATTCATTCATAGGGTGCACTACCAAGCACTTAGCAGAGACTCTTCACATAATATTAAAATACAGGGTTGTCCACAATTGTCTCCCCAAAAGTAAGAGCCCATTACTCAGGAAGTATACATCTGATTTCAATGATTCTCAAACGATAGCCAATTCAATATATTTTTATAGTGGAAAATTTCAGCATTCCATAAGAAACTAGAACAAAGTTACATCCTTACAAATGAAAGTCACCAAATCATTAGTGTTCGATATGACTTCCACAATTTTCAATGACTTAGTGCAATCTCTCCTTAAATGCCACCAGAATTCTTTCAATCATCTCTGGTTCTACTGTGGCGAAGGCATCTCTAATGGCTTGTTTCAGCATATCTAGGTTGTCATAGGTCCGCCGATGAATCTCTTTGGGTTCAGAAACCTCTTATGAGTTGCCTTCATGATCTCATCAGGAACTGAGGCATTTGGACCCAAACTGAAGAAATTTCTGAAGAAATTTCCAAATTTTTCCTGCACAAATTTGCTCTCTTCAAATTATAAAACCAAATGGCAAAATTCATCTTCTGCAGGATACTGAGGTCACCCATGACACAGAAAATCCCTCACAATGCATGAAAAAACCATGAATGAATGTGAATTTCAGAAGAGATTGTGATATTTATAGGCTTTAGTTGAACAATAAGAATACTTTCATTTGTTATGGTGTAACTTTGTTCCATTTTCTTATGGAATGCTGAAATTTTCCACTATAAAAATATATTGAATTGAATAAAAAATATCGTTTGAGAATCATTGAAATCAGATGTAAACTTCCTGAGTAATGAGCTTTTACTTTTGGGGAGACAATTGTGGACCACCCTGTTTATGATCATAATATATGCAGTTAGATGGGGAGAGAGAGAAATAATAAGAATTAGATTTACCTGACCCAACACAGGTCCAAGGGGAGGACCTGGGGTAGCCATCCCAGCTGGGACTGTCATTCGCATTTTTGGGCCATGGATCACCTTCTCTCCAGTCTTCTTTGCCATCCGCAGTCGAGATACTGCCTTGGACATTTTTTCACCTGCTCTTACTGAACTGATCCCAGCACTGATAAATACCTTGGACTAGAAAGGATAAATTCCCTCCTGACTGTTCCTACACAGATGATGAAAGAAATCAGGCTTATTAAAGCTAATTTGTCATTCAAGCCCACCTATTGAAACTATTTTTTACTATTCCAGACTAAGCTGATGCTAAGCCTGGCTGATGAAAAGAGATGATGACAAGTATAGACATTTGTCAAGCCTGTTTATTCCTGGTGGCTGCAGAAGCAAGGTCTTCAATCACTCTAATCCAAGCTAAGATAAGGCAGCCTTTCAAGTCCAATAAGGACTTATAATGAGTCTACCTTGCTGTTTTGTGTGGTTGAGAAACAGGAACACAGTGAACGTTCCCAAGGGTAAAAAAAAAACAATGAAGTGGATTTTTTTTTAATGTGAAGGCATATGGAGCATGAAGTTGAAGCATATTGGTAAGGAACATTGATTGAAGTGAGAGTATGAGAACTCACTTATTCCAGAGTAAAAGTAACCACTTTCCTGCCAAAGGCCTTTTAAATTCAATGGATGCTCTCTTCTACTTTATATTTATTTATCATTTCATTACACCAAGCCAAGTTAGAATGGAAAGGTTGTTTTTTTCCCATTTTGCTTACTATGCACTACTTAATGCAGCAATCTTCACAGGGGTATTGAGTAAATCCAGAGAGGTAAAAATTTTGACATCACTCTGCAACAGGTATACATTGCATGAATTTGCTACAACAATAATCTTTACAACAGCAGGTTGATGAATTACACACGTTTGCTGATGTTCTATGACTGGAGGAAAAAAAATTGTGCTCTAGCCATTTGTAAGTTCTGAAATAATCAAATGTAGAGTAATGAAGAGAATAGCTGCTCAACACTCATCCTGACAAGATGGCAATGTCTAAATCATTAAAATTAGTTTGTTCCATGGGAAAACTGTCACAGAAATTTAAAAACCTTTTGAGAGATATTGGAGAAAATGCACCACAATTATGAACATGTTAAGAAGCAGATGAATACAATCAACCTTAGATAGTCAGATACAGAAAATGCACCCAGAAATGGACATCCAGCAAGTGCCATTGACAATGTAAGCAGTTGAGGAAGTGAGAGAGATGTTTATGGAATATCACAGATTCATGTATTCCCAGACTGCAAAAATTGTCAATAAATATCATGGCAGTCCACATTTTAGCATCATAAATGACAGCATCTTGAGTTCCATGCATAATGTTGCAGCATGCATAAAAGAAACAAACGCATCACAATTTTATTCAGTGATTCATTTCTGTAGATGAAACCTGAACTAAAAGTTGGGAAGCTAAACTCAAAAGTCAAAGTTACAATTTGCAGTCACAAACATCACCATGATTAAAAAAATTCATGCAAAAACAAAGTCTACCAAAGATCATGCATATCATTTCCTGTGACAGGAGGGGATTTTGGTGTATCACACAGCCTTGAATGATGTATCTGTTATTGAAGACTCCTGGAAGGTGTTTCTGTTGGTTTTCCAAAAAAATCATGTTCTGCCTTTCATACAAATTGTACTGTTCTATTGCAAAATAGACCCACCCTTTTCCACAACAATGCAGTCCCTTGTGTCATGAAAGACATCATCATATTGCTTTACTCATGGGGGGGAGGGGGGGATTTCATCTCACCCCCTCTCCTCACTCGAGAGTTACTAGGGAAGGAGACTTCACAGTGCTGAAGAAGTCAATGTTAAGGCTTTTTTTTTTTTCAACAGCTGGTCAAAGATTGTTGCAACCCAGGAATTGATCTTGCAGAAATAGAAAAATGTTATGAACTTGGGAGGTGATTTTGTTGAGTCCTAAAACATTGAATAATGTGTAGTTAGAAATTCCTTTCAAGTCAATAAATACTTCCTGTAAAAATAAGACATATGGTAAGGTGAGGCAGTATGAGTCCTTTTTTGTTTTTCTTTTTTTAATTCCTCATGGTACTAGTACAGGATGATCAAAAAGTCCTACAACTCATGGGAGCATCCAATATAAAGAAACCATTATAGTTGGTGTTAGAAATGATGTCCCTGTTGTTCCTCACAAACATGGATTCAATGAGCTGTTACTGAAAACTAAGGTTTCAGTCAGACTGTTATCCACAACACTCTGAATTTTTTTTTTTAATTATTGCCAAATTCATCCTTAAATTTATCTATGGTTGCAATGTAACTTCTGGTTTCAATGTAGCACTTCATAACAAAAATTCTTTGCTGAATCAACAGCATTGCCACATCTCACCAGCAAAAAAAAATTACTACACAATTATAAACATACAATCACTTGTCCCATGGGTTGTGGGACTTTTTGATCACCCTGTATAATTTCCTTGGATGACCATTCTAACCTGTTTGCATTTGACATCTTAAGAGACTGTCATATTGATTGGATTGGATGCATGAATACTATTTCTTTTGAGTAAAAAAAAGGCAATAGTAGAGATATTGGAGTGACAATAGATCCATAGATGGAACTGTTTCAGTCATCCATGAGAATCCTATGGTTAGATTCCTGGACATCCTACAGTGGCTATTTGAATGCTATGTAGTTTTAAAGGGTTCCAACTAGCTAGGTCAAGCAATCTAGGTTTTTATTGGACATGAAAACCACAGAGTTCCAAGGCCTTTCATTTATTTCACCAAAGCATCATTCTATTACCAACAACATTTGGATTCAAGTTCATTAATCACAAAATTAAAAATCTCAGGCCTAAGTAACATTCATTCCATAAAAAGAAAACACCTGCACCTCTCAGTATGTACCAGCATCTCTAAATCTGCCTCAGGGATTTATTCTTTTTTTTTTCCTGTTTATCCTTCTATAAGGCACAGGCACTGTCAAAATCTAGTTTCACATACTTTTTTTTACTTCTTTCTCCTGAAATAATGAACAATTGCTGCAACAAGACATGCCTATTTGCAGAGATGATGCCCAGTCACTGGGCCCATATGAACTAAATGACTGGGGAGAAAGGGATACTGAAAATGTGCAAGATGCATTGATTAAAGGGACACGACATCGTTTTGCAACACTTGACAGTAGGAATTAGTAGCTAAACACACAACTCATTGTGCATGGGGCATACCAACAAGGGGCTGACGAGGATAAAAACAGGAATTTATGAGAAACTGTGGATGAAAGGGAATCAAGCAAATATCACCATGATATTCTGGTATGGCCTAGTGGAGTAGAGAAGATGAAGGCAATGATGATGTCAAAATTTGTCTTTCTGCTACATTTACACAATTGTTGACATTAACAGGAGAAAAATATACATGAAATATGGGTTTTGGTTTTTGTTTTCAAGATTTATAAGATTGTTTTACTGATGAAAATAACTGGTCATCACAATCATCTACTCAAAGTGTGAAGAAAAATAACAAGTAAAATGCCTTCAAGCCATTTTTTTACAGGAAGAATGTCTACATCTCCATTCACTGTAAACAAGGATGATGTTCCTGGAGTTACATCATAGCAAACCTTGGTCAAACATCAAAGATATGAGTGCTAAATTCCAATAGTCTTAGAAAAAGTGACCATTAGAATATCTTGGGATATTCCAAAATGAGATATGAGAATTCACCAAGTCCATCAAGAAGGAATTCCCTACAAAGACAGGCATCATCCTGACATAGGAACATATTCCTTCACAAGCAAAAATTGTTGAGTTGAGTGTTGAGAAACGAATTCCCAGAAAAGACCATCATATTTGGTACTGCTGTAGCACTATAATGAGGGTGAGTTTGGGTAAAACTGGATTGTTGCAGTGTTAGATTCAATGGTTATATCAACAGGAAACCATCAGGAGTTCCACTTGAGGACAATTCATTCCAATGTTGATATGACAGCTCCATGGGGAAAGAGGTGTAGGAAATATTCATTTAATTCTTGGCTCAATTTTTCAACCCAATGACTTCACAATCTCTCTCTCTCTCTCAAGGTGCAAGTCTGAGAGTAGCTAGTATTATTAGATGAAGAGACAGCTTCCTTTTCCTTTTCATACAGACATTTTTCGAACAACCCAGAGTTTGAACTCCAACAGTTCAACTGTGGCCTATGGAGCTTGTTTCATTACTACACAAGCCTTGAATACCAAAAGCTTTTTGGGTATAATAGGCATCACTTGCAGAAACCCATCATCTGGTGTTTCTCATACCTCAATGAAAAATGCTCCATTGAACTCATATGGGCTCAGTATGAGACCCACAATCCACTCATGTGAGTGGCTGGTTCTGAGGAACCAGGGGGCTGAGGAGGATTGCCAGAGTTCATGCCAAGCTCTTGAAATCCATAACATCCACATGTCCAAACATCAACAGAGTGGACATACCTCTTATGTTTTTTCAAGATGTGACAAATGCTCACTTGACATACCTGTCTCCATGGACATTCTTCTTGCTGAATTATGTGGGCTGAGGAAAAACTTAGCTAACACAAATGTGTTACTGCTTCATCAGTTGCTGTCCTGAGAGGGCCACATCATGGTTTACCCTTTTCATTCCCCTTTCCTTGAACCTTACAACCAACATGGTTACAGTACTGTGTGCATTTGTCAATCAAGATGTTTGTTGGTTCAGCAATTTCTATCAAAGAACTTCGGATATACATAAGGATTATCTCTACAAATTCTTTTTTGTCAGAAACATTGTTTGGATTGGAATTCACATGCTATGAATGACATCTGCGAAAAAGAAAAAATGGTTAAAATTGTGAAGTTTATATTTCCAGACTTTCACCTTGCAAGCAGACAAAAATAGGTCTACAGGACTACCATCTTCCAATTAACTATGATCTGCACATATACAAAGAATGAAAGATGAATGCAATACAATGAAGCAACTGAAATCACTTGCTAACAGTCACTTCATTTCCCCTCTACAATAATGTGACAAGTTGCAAGTGATTTCAGTTTCTTTGCTGCAATGAAAAATGTGTATGCTTAGCCCCAAAGGTTCCTTTTGATATGTTGACTGCAATTTTGGAGTAGATGAGCATTATAAAACAAAAAGACCCATTATCAATAGCTTGCCCTAGTTCATCTTCATGAAATGATGGGCAACATTAACAGCCTAAGTTGCATGATCATAGCAAGGAATAACATAGCTACTCATAATTCTGTGCTGCATTGAAAACTATGAAGTTTAATAGTTTCTGAAAAATAACATCCCTCACAGCATATTTTAGATATTGCAGATATACTGAAGCAGTTGGAATAAGTTATTTAAGTGCTGTTATGATCAGTGGAGACCATGTGCTCTGAATTTATGCTTTCTCTTGTGTGATAACCTTCTCATAAAGCAAAATAAATTAAAATTACCAGAAACTGTAGAACTGGATGTTTCAAATAATGGATGTAATTCAATTCCAAGAGAATTTGTTTCATGCAAATGCAGTGACACTTGATAAAATGCTTTTAATAAGTGTTTTTAATAAGTGTTTAAAATGCTTTTAATAAGCACTGTGAGAAGTGAGCTTGCTTTCTCATTCCATAGTACTAGTATAACAGTCATATATTGCAGACTGACTCATGCCTGTTGCCAATTTGATCCATTCAGATATTGGCAAAGAGAGATAGAAAAGAAAAGAGGGAGAGGAAAAGAGAGAGAGAGAGAGAGAGCAAGGGTTGAGATGCAAAAGAAAGTCAATCCAAATCTGCATTTTAAGGTTTATACATAAAACAAGCGATCCCCATAGTACAGCTCCTTCACCTTTCCAGGAACAGCATCTTTTGAGTGCTTTCTAGCTATATTTCACTTGTGTGGAATTATACCTTGATATTTATTGTCATATATATTTTCAAAGAGTTGGTTGAATCAACCTATTGAATATAGCTAACTTTTTGAGAGAAACATAGGGCTCTTACTTCTATTATTTAATTGTAAAAGGTGATAATGCTGCCAGCAATCATAAGCAGTGAGAAAAAGTCCATGGAAAGTCTACCCTTCCAGCAAGTAGTTCTCAGGTAGGTACAGCAATTTAGCACATTGACTGCCAAGGATTTCGAAACAACTGTTCTTCCCTGTGGCAAATGTGACACATCAGCATGTCACATGTTCAAGAGGGAGGAATCTTATCTTGCTCTTTTGAAAAATTAGCCAAACTCAATCAGACATAAAAGCAAACATGTACTAAAAGGATATTAACAACTAGTGACATTAGATACTATCCTGAAACTTATCAGAAGTGTAGAAGAACCATAATTATTGAAACTCCCAGAATTCCAGTATTGCTCCTGAAAAGATGGAGCTTTACTGCAAATGATTGCTACTTTTTGAACAAATCACACACCCACAATCTCAAAATGGCTCAAAAAAAAGAGAGAACACTGTTCCAAAGAGGATATATCCAAGACCAACAAACCTATACATGGTTTAATGAAGACACAGAAAATCTTTGTGTATATTCCATATACTCGTGGGTTTTTTTTTGCAAAGCAGTGCATGAATCCCATGCATGTTACAGCCCATGGAACTTGAGAAGTCACATCAGATGGGTGAACACAGTCAAACTGCAGGAGATGCCAATGCTTCTACTGGTGACAGTTGTCTCCAACATACTCAAGGCCAAAGCTCCAATCTGACTGGCAGGTTTGTGAATGGCTATTAATTTCAATAGAGTTTATGCCTTTTGAGTAGTGCTTGCTTTTTCTTTTAGAAGTTGGCTTAATTAAGTCAATTTTGATAATCACATATCATTATCCTTGAGAAGAGTTGCTAGTCTCCTCATAAAATATTTACATAACTGACCTTGGAGATATATTTGGAAATATGTTCTTGTTTTTCCTTTAGCCACCCTTTTTACACAGTATATTACTACCTCCAAAACCTGCAAACCTCCAAAAGCAGAAAGATATGTGTCTAGTATGAAGACAGTCAAAAAAGTTATTCAATAATTTTTTTCAGGAACATCAACAAAGTCTCATTATCTAACACTATTTCAATATTCAGCAAACTTCTTATACTACTCAAGTCACAAATTTTGAATGAATGAATCCACTTTTGGAGAGTAGCAGTGAAACTTTCTTTTGGGTTCACTCAATTGGAAAATTACTGAATTTATGACAGGAAAAAATTTATTGCACAAGTAATCCTGAAGGCTTGCGAACAGTCAGAAGTCATTTCAAATATTTTCAAAAGCAATATTAGTGTCCATTAAAAAGCAGATCACAATCCTGTTTTCTACTTTCCTGAACTAAAGAAATTAAAGCTAATAGTTTAAAAGCATAGGGTGTAGCGAACACTTGCAAATCAATACAACATAATTATCTCCCACTACCAATTAGGACTCCAAAAAGTCAATTATGAGAACTTTTTGACTGTATCTATTGCCTCACATCCTAAAAATCTTGGAGTTCCCTTCAGCTTCTTGAGTGGATTTTTTCCATTCCCCCTATTAGTTGTGCAAAATTTCATGTCACAATGATTGTGACTTCTACATCAGCAAAAACTCCTGATATACTAGGAATTTCAAGGGGGCAATCAAGGGGAGATGGAATGGTTCATCCCATCCACTGCTTAGTTTGATTGCTTTTTTTCAGTGTATTTTAAGCAATGTGAGTATGGTAAGGCCATAGAAAACATGGACCTTTGACCTCATGTCCATAAAAAGAGATTTCCATGTATATCCATGTAAGATACCATTTTGTACTGTCAATCAGTCAAGCATAGGGATGGGGCAGTCAATTTACTATTATTGACAGCTCTTTTTTTTTATTCAATGAATTGAGAAATTTTTATAGAGCTCATAACAGCAGTCATTTATCCCCCAGCACTAAAACCAAAGAGCAAGTTCCACTTTATAATTATATTCATGCAGCCTGCCAAACATCTGGATTATGGTACCCATTGGGAATGAAAATATTGCTAATGCTCAAACTACCACAACCTCTCACCTGAGTGGTGTAGAGTATGTGTACAGGGTGGCACAAAAGTCTCTATACATATTTTGGCATTTGTTTGCGTCATCACTTGTGCTCATTTTGCCATCCAATTTTCATCTGTTTCAGTGACCACAATAACTTACTGAGTCAAATCATAAACATCATCCACCAAGTCAGCAGGTATGACCAGTTTCTGTTTGTTGTTAAGAATTATGCGAGGAAAGTGTAGCTAGTCAAAAATGCATAGACTTTTGCACCACCATGTACAGGGATAACCTGCTGTTCAAGGTCTTCCAACCTTAATGACTTTGAAGTAAAGGTTCAAGATCTAAGTTACAGCTTTAGAACTTCAGTTTAATACAAGGAATATCATGGTCTTGGCCAATAGCCTGCATTATAACACCAAATTATTCTCAGAGTCTGTGATCATGGGAGAAGTAAACTTACTTGGATTATGCCTAGGTCTGTGCCTAAAAAAAATTAATCTAGCCATGAAGAACTTCTTGAGCAAGGCAGTGGCTTTTTCATTATAGGAACAGGAATATATACTTATACCAGAAACCAAGAAACTCCAGTTCTGGACCCTATGTGTTGCATTCCTCATTCTTCAGAGTACTTATGGAGCTAACTAGTCACAGAATTTATCTCTGAAGCATGACTGATAACTGTTAAATGTTCCAACTCATGCAATCTTGTATCAATGTCTATATTAGCAATGAGATGTTGATTGGTCAACATGGCCATTTATGATCATATACAGTCATAAGGCCTAACCTCTTGTTAGGCTCATTGATCATTATTGTCTGTAAATGGTTATAAATGACCATGTTGACCTGTCAACTTCCCATCCCTAGTCTATCACACATGAGTCATGACAAAAATGGAGCACAAACTGTGCAGGAAAAAACAAAATAAAAGTTAGCCTTATTGACCACAACAGACCATAGTTGACAATATTGACTGGTCAATTGACATGTTTTTAATTGACTGGTCAATAACCCATCCCTAGTCAAGCATATGACATTCTGCTTCTTCATTTAATTCCTCTGTCAATATTTTGTAGTTTGAATTATGCTGCATACTCAAGAGGAATGACAAGACAAAAAAATAATCACCTGTATCTTCAAAAACATTCATGCTTATTAATTACAGACTCAAATGCCTGAAGAATTTACCAAATGCCTGTAATAATTGTTCATTACAATGAGGATATATGCCAGATGCCACAACAAATTTGAGGGTTGACCAGTTATCTTACATGAAGTGAGCAAGGGAACATGTTGGGGATTTCCTATTAATTAAATATTTTCCATGAATTTGACATACAAAAAGACTAGTATAAGGATCCACAGAGAGGTATGCTCACTCAAAAAAGAAAATCAATTCCTCTTTATTATAGTGATGCAGCAGATATTTTGGGATATTCCATCACCAGGTAGATAACTTTGATATTAAAAAACCCAGCCAGTATCCTGAGTGCCAGAGTGTTGGAAAACAACATGCTAATAAATAAATATGTTATCAATATGTGCACTTAAAGCATTTCAAAACAGCAGGACGATCACTCACAGCAGAATCATTAATTCTTTATTCCTTTTTTAATTTCCCAACTCTAGGTATAAGGCAGTACTTATAAATATATATTTTATCACTTCATCATGGAATAAAAATAATTATGAAGCACTTGAAAGAACAAGAATTTGAATTACCATTCATGCCAGTAACACAACAAATATGATGAAGAAAACAATGAGTACTCCAAATACCTTAAACATGAGCCATCTGCTTGATGAAACAGATCTGAAGTATTTCAAGATTTCCGAATGAGCTGCTTCAACATTCATCTGTGTGTCTTCCACATTGTGGTCAATCCTGCAAGGAAGATATGCAATGAAAAATGTACTTTCCTCAAGAAGTTAACATTTATGTTTTACATAATTTTTTTAAACAAAATAGTAATGCAGATTAATACAATGGTGAGTTAAATAGTCAAAATTCTTACAGACAACACAGTAAGAATTGCCTGGAATCATGGAATGTCCCTAACAGCAATGAAACAAAAGACTGGAGCATAAGAATTGCCTGACCCACTTTGTCTTGTACCTGTCAGTGATGGTTCTGACAAGGAATCCTCTCAACCTACCAAAAATCCAGACCAAAGGGATTCCAATTCTGCTTCATTGTGATATTTATTAACCTTGTCTCATTTAAGAAAAACCTCCTTATTTTCCCCTCTCCTTCCTCAACCCCCACCACTTGGCCCAAGCAGAGAAGGTTTTTCTTAACTGAGACAGGGATAGTTGAGGTAGCCTTCTGTTGCATGCAGTGAAGTAGTAAGAGAATTATGAATAAGTATTTCTTTACTGAACAAAATCAAGCAAATAAAATATTTCATTCAATTCTCTGACAAAGAATTGCATGCACCAGAATGGATCATTGTTTTCCATGGTAATCAAGCTATGTTCAAGCAAGTCCTATATATTCTTATGTCCACATGCAAAATTTCTTGAACATGCATTGTATGCCAGGAGCATATGCTTAGTCCACAGAATGAAAAAACAAACATATTTTTATGCTACTCCTATTGAGTCAAGGTGATGGGAACAAGAACAGCTTTTCTTTGGGGCATCAGAGTCTCACCTATGAATAGCTTCCTCTTGTTCCTTAACCATGTGAGCCAATTGCTGGAATATGCTCCCAAGTTCCACAACTGTTGATTCAATGCTCTGCATTGTCTCTGCACGACTCTCCAGGTAACTTGTATCCTGTCATGCCACATGAATGCAAAGACAATTGAACATCCCATGTGAAAACAAAAGGAATTCTTTTTCACCAGTGAAAAATTCTCAAGCATTAATTTACAAAGCTATTAAACAGGGCTTAAACCAAATAGACAGCAATTACCAAATTAGCTTACAAGCTTTCTGCAGGATCATTCATAATGCATATCTCAACTCTGAATGAAAAGGGAATATAATATTACAAACAAACTGGGCTAAATATACATGATTACACAGATACAAGAGATGATCCAAAAGTTTTTGCCCTGTGATATAATGAAATGTGATGGACTCATAAAGATAATTTATTTTTCAACTTTACCTCCCTGGACATTAACACATGTGCCATTGAAGGGAGAGGGCTTCAATCCCATGCAAAAAAATTTATTTTTCCTGTTTTCCTTAAAACACTTGGACAGCTCTATTGAATTAATTTCCACCTTCATAGCTACTTTATCCAGATAAATAAACTAATATCAAATGAATGGCTTTTGTACTGAATACAAAGCATTGAAAATAGAATAGATAGCAGTGATGCAATTTGTATTAATTGCATTACTGCCATGTATCCAATTTTTGCCCTTTAGAAATGGATTAATATATATCTGGAACATTATTTTTATACCAATTATTTAAAAAATAAATAAATGCAGATAAAGCCAATAGTTAAAACTTAAAATTACCATACAGGTTGAAGGAATATTAGAACAAACTTTCAATCTTCTCTGATAATTTCTACTGCCTCAGGGCAGAAACTTTTGAATCATCCCTCATAGTCCATTCATAGGTCCCTCACCAAAAAGGAAAATGCAAGGTCAAAGACCAACACAGATTGATGAACAATATTATGTATATAAAAATGATCTTACTGATTTTCACAGCATGGCTAGGTAGTAATTTTTTTCACATTCTCATCACTTTTTTCTTTGACCATAATGGGAACATGGTTGGACAGAGTGAGTAGGAGACAAGCTTTGAATGCCTGTGTCATGCAGAATCTGGCAGGGGAAACAATGAGAATGTTGTTGGATATCTAATGTATGCTGTCAAGAGCACTTAGACAAGCTAATAATGCTTTTGAGGAATTAGTCATGAATAATGTAAGGAGGAAGCATGAAAGGAATTTGTTCTTTTGGATTTTAGTGGGCCAAATACACCTTTATAAAAATTAAAAAAACAGCAGTGGGGTATCCCACATCTGGGAAAGAGAAAACCACCTAGATTCCTCATCCCATTCAAGACAGAGCTACACATCCCTCCTCGAGCATACAGGAATATAATATGGGAAAAGGTGTCTCTTGATATATCTATCCACACTTTGAACCTCACCTCTTCCACCAGCAACTGCTGCTGGAGAGCAGAACTAGGCCCATTCATGGACTGAGGCACTTCGATGGAAACATCAGAAGGTCCCTGCTCGTCATGATATCCTCGAGATAATAGGACTGATCCAGATGGAAAGCCTGAAGTTGCCATAGGGGGTAAGTTTCGAACCACTGGAGCCTGAGTGTACTTCTCTTGTCTACTCCTTTGCTGCTTCAGGTTCTGCATGAAAGATACATGAACAAAGTAAGGAAACACAAAGCAATTCAAGAGTTTGTATTAGCCTACCTAAAAAATCAATGTGATGATGCCTGTATTTAGTGAGGAGCCTTAATAAAATAAATATCATACCTTGAAAAGGACTGTGCCTAGAATTTACAGAATCTTCATGGAAATGGGGTAAAATCAGCATGAGTAGGTTTATTGATATATAATTCAATTTCAGATGCATTACATTTATCTGAGGATTGATTCATGGAAAAAGGGGAAGATTTGGCAATGAGCCTGACTGCTGAGTCCAGACATTTTAATTGCATTCATATAATCAAATGATGTAGAAGCACTTGAAACACTTAAGAGGACAAATGCAATTGGTTAATTAAGTAAACATAGCTGACCCTTTGGCCTTGAAATCAACATAATTAAAACACAGTAAAGCATGCTGTGCTCAACCTTTGGTAAGACTTGTCAAATGGAAATCCAACCAAAGGTTGGTGCTTGCACTTAACGAGAAAATATTCCTATTACACATGATACAGTATTTTCCACTTGAGTTAGAAATTTTTTCACTTGACTTTGACAATGGTGCATGGTGAGGGTGATATAGCTGACACAGAAACTAGGAGTTCCATTTTTAAGTGCAGATGTCATGATGACACTGGCGTCAATGATGATGATTAATTTCCTGCTGAAGAGAGGAATATCAATATGAACCCTCCCAAATACACAATATACTAAAATGATAATTTAACGTTGTATTGAAAAACTAGGCTTTTGTGTCACCCATTACTGTTTTCCTTAATAATATTTAAATAAAACAAGTGAAGTTTTTGGCATCATTCCTGGGTTCTGAAGTATCATACCCCACACCAAACTCACATTAGGCCCATCTAATGTAGATCTAGGACTGTCCATCGAAGTCCGATCCAGTGTTTACAAATCACTGAGCTGACAGGAAATTGAAAACTTATAGTCTTTTTTATTTAAATAGACTGCAAGGAAGGTCTCCTGTTGACAATGTGGCCATGCTCGGGGTTCATTGTTTCCAGTACATAGTTTGATTCATATGACAAAGCCTAAATATTCAAAGGAGAGAAAGATGTAGCTAGACACCAGGGGCATCAGTGCCCTTGCCTCTTCTCTGAATACCCCACATATCAGTGTCTTAGTCAAGTGAAAAATTGTCGAACTGAAGTGAAAAACACTGCATAAAATAATAATCAATACCATAGTCAAATGTGACACCATTATGCATTCTCATTGCACTCTAAATAAGTTCCAGGAGAGCATGAGGACCCAGAAAAATGGACATTGATCCCTTAACATATTATGCTCATGATCCCCAAATGGAGAATCTAACAATTTCTGCATTTCTATATAGGATGCTAAATATTAGTTTATGCATTAACTCCCTTCATGACTAATCAAACATGCTTGCCAGTTGTGGAATATAAATTCATATCTTTTCAAATGTGTATACTTTTGCATATAAAGATAATATATTAATTACATACATGAATGTACATTCAAAAGTAATGCCTTCATTATGCTTGTATTAAGTTAAATTATTACCACTTTTCAATTAAGAATAATTGAAAAGTGGTAATATTGAGCATTGAGTAAGGGTTTGTATTGAGCTAGGTTTTGCATGCATGTACTAAGTAAAAAGAAATCTTTAATATACATATGGTTCTTCCATTCACTTTACTCAAAGAGTGAGGACCTATTGTAAGGATAAACCAAAAAAATCTAGGCCCCAGCAGGTTAAGACAAGGTGTGGAAAAAAAATAATGTGTCAACATAGCTGTCTGAAAAAACATGTTAAATAAAAGTTTGCATTTTTTAGGTTTGAGGGACATTAAAAAAGTTATTATAATTGCTACAAAATTTACCATTCTCTATTATTCAAAGTGATTCATAAGATGTAGAACAAAGCATTACATATAAAAAAAACTTTGCTATAGAAAATAAGCAGCATTTAACAATGGACTCTCTTCACCACTTCATTTAGGCAATCTGCAAATAGATGGCAGCTTGTGTCAAACCACCAGGACAATGTAGAAGACAAAATGAAGTTGGACTTAAATATCTCTTTAGCATAGGGAAATTAAATATAAATTAGGTGTAGCATATGTGTTACTGAACAAAGTAAGGGGCCAATATAAACCTGACTGGGAATTTCCATCCCCATTTTAATTACATAAATCCTTTTAATGGTAGGTGAATATGAAACAGGATTGCTTAGGCCTAGTAGGAATAAGTCACATCGTCATACCTCAGTTCGAACTTCCAAGACCTGCTTGAATTCATTAGAGATGCAGGCTAATTTGGATTGAAGAGAGACAACCACACTATTGGAATGATTCTCCAGATGATGCTGTCTTGTATTAGAGGGCTGTGAGACCTTCACCAATTCTTGCAATCTTCCAATTTGTTTGTTCAAACTGCTCAAGTCCTGCTTGATTATGTAAGTCAACTCTTGGATCTCGTGAGGCTTGTCATCAAACAAGCTTTTCTTCTTGGCAACTGCTCAAGAAATATAAGAAATATAGGCCTGCTCTTTCTGCAGATGCAATCAAATGAAATGGTAATTGAAATTGACCTCAAATTAAGCATTCTGCCATCTGCAATTTTATTAGTCAAAAAGGTGGTCTTTCCTGGATTCCCATAGAGCCTCCTAAGGGTTTTATGTTGGTATAATATCCTAAATAAATACAGGTACCTAGTTCATCAGTTTCTTAAAGTTGTTTTTCCATCCAGTATGTAACATACAAAAAATAAGAAGTAGGTCTACTGGTAAAAGATAAGCAAACCAAAAGAAATAGATAACTCACGCAGTGTCAACTTCTCCAATTTTGTGTAAGTGCTAGTGATATCTCGGCCAATCATCCTGAAGAAGAAAAAAAATTTGGTCACCCTGAAGTCTGTAAGGTGTGTAATCTAGTGAAAAGAACTAGCAGAGCAATCTTCTGCAATGATGAAAGTCACTACTGAAAAAACAGTCAGTCCTAACATTTAAAGGACAACTCATACATACAAAACAGGTGGTTACTGATTTAAATCAGGAATAAATTGAACCCTAGATTTCATATGCTAGTTTATCAATAACTTTTCTTTATCGGAGTTGATACACATGGGTTATGGTTACAAGCATACCCCCTAGGGATACTGTGTTGCCCCTAGTTAATTTAGGTTAGGTTAGGTTAGGTTAGGTTAGGTTAGGTCAGGTCAGGTCAGGTCAGGTCAGGTTAGCTTGGGGTTACATTGGGGTTTATTATAAATAAAAGAAATCCCAATGGATAGGGCATGTTTCCTATTGAATTCATCCAGAAAGATTGGAGAATGGGAGAGTGCAATTTCTCAAACATTTAACCATTACCAAATATGTTGGCTTAAGCAGCACTTTCACAATACTATATTGTAACTGTCATAAGTCAATGGAAAAGGTTCAGAATTTCCAGTCTACTTTCTGAGCCAGAATGAAAGATATGTAACATGTGAAAGCACTGACTGCTTCTTTTACCTAAAACCATTCCTGGGCATACAGCAGAAATGAAAAAAAAACAGCATAACATGTATACATAGTGTATCTTAGGAAATCATTATTAGAATCATGAATCAGATGGAAGAGAATGTTGATGGAACTTACTTGGCAATGCGCATGAACTCTGCATAATGCTGGAGCTTTTGTGCTCGACCAGGGTCACGCTGGAGAGCTGACCTGGGCACATTTCGTTGATAACCCTGCATTGAGCGCACTGTTGCCAAAAACTCTTGAGTCCTGTCATGGGCTGTCATGGTGACCAGGTATATCTCTGCCTCGCTTTCACCAATCCTTTCCAATGTCTCCAATTCTTCACTTGTTCTTGCCACTCCTGTTAAATTAGAGCCTTGAGAACTCAAATTTCTACCCCCAATTGCTGCAACTTCTTGAGGGCCTGGTCTAACGAGACGTCTGCGAGCCACACTCATGAAGATACAAATCTAATCATCTGTTCAAATTTTCAGCTGAATTCTTACATTACCTGGAATATGAAAGATAACTGTTCAAGATGCCTCAGGAAGAAAAAGGAACTTTTAGTAATATCTGTAGCATACCTGACTTAATCAGATAAGATCTTTTCACTTCTAAATGGTACAAGTGGGTATCCAAAAGAAAAGGAATAAACACGTTTAACCCATCAAGAGTATAATTTTCTAAGCAAGGTGGAACCCACAACATATAAATTAATGAGTCCCAGCAATAGTTACTTAACTATAGCATTTTATGCAAATAACTGAACATGAACTCCTTTACTTTATCTTAATAAGTAAATACATAGTATAGAACAAGATACATTTCAATTTAAAAAATAGACACGATGTATAAGGAACGTCAGTCATGATAGATATATCAGACATACCCCCTTGACAGGATAAAGGGGAGATGTGATATATATACAAATGAATGTGGGTTCAGTAACTTTGTTAAAACAGTGAATCAGTTTTCTAATGCCTCTTGGATTGAATTCTTTGGGAACGATACATGAAGCAGTACATATCCCCTGCTACACCACCTGACATTGTTGAGATGTCATCTCCAAAGGGCTTTTTTCACAGTTGTAATACTTTTTTTCTATATTCTAGGGATGACACATTGAACTGTCCCAGAGCTGAAACCTGTATCATCTTGGAAAGATGATGACTGACCATGAAAAATGCATCCACATACTGTGGTTGCATCTGACATTTACGACATCCCAAGTGAGCCCCTCTTGCCATGCATCTATCCTGGTTGTTTTCACTGCTAAATTTACCCATTCACTTGAAATTGGAGATAAATTTGTGATTGTGCTAAACTAACATTTGTCATCAGAATAATTTCTGCCTACAGATATTGAATCACACCTCTCTGTTCTTTAATCCTGTAGCCAGTCAATTCACCTGTCATGTTTGATTTTAACACATTCATGCCCAGCAACTGCAGTACAATATGGATTTAAAATGTAATATTACAGTTCCTGGTGTCAATGTGTTAATGACAAGGATCCAATGCATGTTAAGACTTTCAGTCCCAGGAATTTGAATATGGCTTATTCTTGTTACGACAGGCATGGGACTCAGTGTTAATTGCAGTCTAGAGGGGTAAAATTGACTGGGATGTATCATGACCATCACAGGGTTTCTACATATTCCTGTGTCTTCTGCAGGACCTGTTTTAACTGTTAGTCCCTTTATTTTTGGATACTTCTTGGTATAATATGCTCTGATAGTAAGCTCCACTTCAAATGGTATGTGAATGCAGGTTGTTTTAGAGATTAAACAAACCTACCAACAGGCATGTCATTCAAATCATGCACCACTACAAGTCTCTACTCCATTTCCCATTTTCCCCATTTTTTACTATATATTCCTTGAGTTATACTGGAAAACATCCTCACTTCTCACTTTCTCTTTTAGTGAAATCAAATAGGAGTCCTGAAGTAGCTACTTTGCAGAATGCATGGGTGAGAAGAATCTCTTTCATTTTCTTGACATCCCAGCATGCATTTCAGGAAACATTCAAAATAGACACACAGCAACTTTTATTAAACTGATTTCTGCCAATCTTGATCTAGAGTATAGTAATTATGCGAAAGTCGAGCCCATTTCCTTAGTACAATGACGTGCTGCACAAGAGAGGCTCCATACTGAACAAATGCTTCACGCAGGGCCGTGAGTGTGTTTATCTGTCAAAGTTGAATTCTGATCTACAATATCAGCTTGAAAGCCTTTGCATCATTAGTAATGATATCGCAAGAAGCATTGAAATGCAATAATATATTTGGACGCATGAATCAAACCAACGGCGCGAAAGCCGACCCTGCGGTTTCTCAAAGTCGGGCCTGTGATCGTGCTTCCTAGCCTCACTAAGCATCCACCACCCGGCATGAAAGTCTTAGCAAGCCTCTATATGCGCACACCGCTCACCGTGTTGGTTTGCAGAGCCAGGAACGACCAATTTTGGACAGACTGCATATTCCCAGCATAATTGCCTGAGAGGTACCTCCAGGAGGGAGGTTCAAAGAGGGGACTAGCTGGATATTGCTTGACAGTCAAACTTGATTAGAATATCCATGGCCTTTGATATAGATCTTAGGCTGACCATGGAAAGATACATGTATGGTTAGCACAACCTGAGAAGTGGCATTGTACATATGAATGCAGAATTCCCGACCTTAGGCGTGTGCTTCACTTGCCTATGCCTACAACAAGGGATTGACTTTCAGAGACCCTCACCGCGATTTGGTCCAGAAAACCGACCCTCTAAAATATAGAATTCCAAGAACATAATGATGTAACCACTTCTTACAGCATACTCTTCAGTTACCTTTGAACACTATATTTATGACCATCAACGCTTAGAGCCACCAGTAAGTACCACAACATAATATATACCAGGGACATTTGTAACCATGATCGCAGAGTACCTCACTTAAAGTAAGAATGATGTCATTTAAGGAGCTCGTTTCCGGTTGACTATAAGGATTAACAACGATGCATTCTCTGTGGGACACATTTTAAGCATCGCTTAAAACATGGATTCGAAGACGAAGACAAAGAGGGCAGTATGTCATTATAATGGCGAGGTCCGTGAAGTGAACCGGAATTCCGTCCAAATTCGTGCATGGGTCGACTTTCGCGTACTTACGTTAATCCTCACACAGTGAAAGTCCACAATAATCTAACCCCAAATTTGTCTCAATATATTTTCGTGATAAATTCCCTCAAAAAATGGCCATAGGGATGATTTATTAGGCAATTTCCTTGTCCAAAAAGAAAATATCCTTCACAACCGCTTTTATAGTAAGACTACCTAATTTTCATGTTTCCAAAGATACTTGACCACAAGGGTTACCCCTCAAAGGGTCCTCAATGATGCCTTCATATCCCAATGTACAGCAGCCGTCTGACGTAAGCCTAGTTTCGGATTTCAGGTTTGAAGTCATCATAAACCTAAACTAGAAGACGTTAACAACTATGTCTAACGTTAGGGCAGGACACGTGCCTGAGCAGGCTATGATTGCAGCGAAACGTAGTTGAGGCCTGGCTCTAGGTCTGCGATAGGCCCACCATGTGGATAATGCGCATCCAGGGAGCAGCCATGTATTCATGCCACGCAGTGAGTGGCTCCACATAGTAGAACCCTGAGTATTACGCGCGTGCGCCTCGCAATTCGTATCCTCATAACCTCCCGCTTGCAATGACGAAGTCCGAGCCTCAGAACGATCCGACATATTCCTAATCCTTGCATAAGAATAGGTGTTCCATGGCCACAACGCACTTCTCGTACAATATTCTTTGATCTATTTTATTCCTCTTCTTCCCCGTTCCCCGTCTTTTGACTTTGCATTTCCTCACAAACCGGAATGGACTTGAAATATGTTTTGAATAATGTGCTCTGAAGAAGCAAAAAAAATTAACTAATAATACGTGGAGCCGCTCAGGCAGGAGGTCCCTTAACCCATTCCAGCCCAATGATGCCATATGGCATCATAGTAAAATTTTATACATTAAGGCATTGTTTTAACCCTAAGATTCCATTAAGCACCGTAGTTAGTTAGGCCTATTCTAAGACTTTAGGGAGTTGCTTATTATTTTATCTTTTATTTTAATTGTTTAATTTCATTTTAAAAAATTTTTCCATGGAGAGTAGAAATTAATCTGGGCTGGAAAGTAAATGGCTGTTTGGAAATGGCTACGTCCAAGCACTATTTTCGGATTGCGTTCGTACCTTCCCCCCCCCCCTTCCCCCCAGGGTAGAGGAGACCGGAGAAAGCGCTACTTCCGGAAGATCCGCTTCGTCACGTTATACAAAAGCCACTCTTGAGAAGGTGTCACTACCCGCAGTCGACGGAAGCGCTCCTGAGGAGTTATAAATTCAATCCGAATAAAGTTAAACTTGATGGTCTTTCTTGCTGTTCTTCAAAACGAGAGTCATGATTATACTGACGAGGCGGCAACCAGTGAAGATCGAGGGATGAAACAAACTCGAGAAACTGAAAGGTGGGATAGAGGAGGAAGAGAAAGTAAGGGGATGCATTTTAAATGGGATGATTTTCTGACATCGAATAGCACAAGGAAAATTTAAATATTAACGAGAACCCCAGCCGTTCATTTACCAATTATTCCATACCCCTAATTGAAAGTTATGAAATGTCCCTAAATGTCTCAAAAACCCTACTCCCATGGGGAAATAGCAGATGTCAGGCATTCTTGCGTTTTTTGTGGATAACATTATCCACGGGATAGACAACCATGAGATGACTCCGAAACTGTAACGGAGAGAGATCGGCGCTCCAAATCCTGGTGTGCAGTCAGTCATATGAAGGCGAAAACTTATTCTAACTTTTCTTCGGTTGATCAACCTGCATTCCAACCATTGTTTCGGTAGAGTTTTGGGGAATGAAGAGGAATTGACATTTTCCCCCCAGAGAAAATGACAACTTTGTCCTCGGGACATTGCTTGCTAAGCAGAACGTGAAGAAAGTAAGCTTACTCGGTTCGATGATTTGAGGGCGGCGGAGTCGCGGTGACTCTTCTATCCACGCATGCAATCAATCGATTGGTCCTCACAGTCCCGCAAAGGGCGCAAAGGTCTCTGCTGAAATGAGAACAGGAACCGATCCTGAATGGGGTGAAAGAAAGACTTCAACAGGGGTGCCTCGGAACGCGAAGCGACGCAGCGACAGTGGATGCATGGAATTGTAGCACGAGCAAACTGGGTGAGTCACGACCCGGGACGTGGCGAGCTCGGACAATTCACACGACCCGACTCTCCGAACGCATTAGTTCTTCTTTTCATTATAGCGACGCACAGATTTTCGAGTACAGTTCAAGTTCTATGCCGCAGAAAAGTACCATCTCCAGGGTGGAAGATAAGAAAATATTTATTATTTTAAATTTAGAACTCACCGACTCACCGCCAGTTTCTCGAAGCTTCTAAATCTTTTCTTTTTCTTAAAACGTGCTAAAACACGGCTATTTCTAATCTTTTTCTTATTTCCTTCTTAAAAGCGGTTTCTCGAAAGTTCTNCCCCCGGAAACCTCTGGGCCTACAATTGTCAGGCAAGAGCTCGTTCCATCGTCGAAAGAGCTATTGGTTTACTGAAAGCTCGATTTAGGAGTCTCAGCCACAGTAGTGGAACTGTCAATCGGAAACTTGGAGCATCAATGTGCAGAATGAAAGGACTCAATCCCCCTTCGGAGGCAGAACGGACTTAAGAAAAAGAAAAGAAAAAGTTTAGATTTAGATGTTTCGAGAAACACCACCTTCTAATCTAATTCTAAACTTTTTCTATTCTATTTCTTTTCTTAAAGGGTCCGTTTAAGAAAAGAGTTAGAAAAGATTTAGAAAAGATTTAGAAGCTTCGAGAAACTGGCCCCAGGTCCCAAATGATCGGAAGTCAGCACAAGGTAAAGGCGAGAACAGGGTCAGACAGTCAGGAAAGGAAAGAGAGGGGGAAAGAAAAGCAGGACTATAGAATTAGTTTTTCCTCTAGTCCTGTTTTTCTTTTCTTTCCCCTTTCACATCGTGCTGACTTCCTATCACGAGGGGCCTGTTTTGACTCAGTGAGTTTCCTTTCCAAAAGACTAATTCGCAGATGAATACGCAGTAAAACTATATTTTTTGCATTAATCTTTTCAGAATTCAGATTTTTAGGATTTTAGGGTTTTTTAATGCATAAAAATATTCAGCAGTTCTCTTGCTGTGATCGTTTAAAAAAGGCCTCAATGCTCGACTTTCCAACTATTTTTTGCTAGCACTTATTGCTGTTGGAGGTGACATGGTCCACCGACTCTCGAATCACTGATGCAGGAATGTGGATTTGGCCTCTTGCACTTAATCAAGATTCCTCAGCTTCGGAACTTTCATTTCCCATAGGTACCCCCAAAGCGGGAGAAAAAAAAAAACAAGGATCCACGCCAATTTACAAAGAAATACCAGTTGTATGGCATGCCTGCAGTTCATGTATAAACGTGGCTGTCACGTAATTCCATAATAATTAAATAATAAGAACTGATTTCAAATGGTTTCGAGATTACAAAAAAAAACATTCAACAGAAAGTAAAAAAAAAAAATTGGTATTCCTAGTCTAACAGAACCATCAACGCAAAATGGTGTGGCTGAAGCGAAGTTTGACAAACTAATCTAATCATCGGTCTGAAACTAGTCGAACAAATGACACATGACATGCCCCAAACCGAGGCCGAACCGTGAATATGCCACTGAGGTCAACAGGGTCAAAACCTACCCAGCAAACATGAGAGCGTTGAAGAAATGCTACTACAACGTTCACTTCTAACGCTGTTCCAGCATTGCAGCGAACGTTAGCACAACGTTACAATATCCCTTTTGGAAGCATTCAAAGCAACATTAAATTCAAAAGCGTGAATGAACGATATTCATACATTCATTCAACATGTCTATCTCCAACATCACTGTTTTGCTCATCAGCTGTGAGCTTTCAGGCTGCCGAGCTCTCTCACTCTCAGTTTGGGGGGGGGGGGGGGCACTCCAGCATTGGCCACCTTCCCCCGATTGCTTCCTTGTGAGGTTTTCAACTCCCTTCACACGATTAGAACTATTTCTGATTTCTTCTCATACACACCTGGATCTTGACTCGCTCCGGATTTGTGCGTCATATAAGATCCTTCGTTTGATCTCCCCTGGAAGTGTGTAACACAGCCTCTGCAGTCAGACATCATACTCTTCGAAGTGATTCCTGATGGCTCAGCGATTTCCTTGCTTCTTCAACCCTTCGAAAAAGGTTGCCAGGAATAGACGGGACGTGAGATTCGCGGTGGAGATATACTGCACCTTTTCCCCCCCAAATTCAGGCTCCCCTGCTCGGCTGCTGTGTATAATTGGGGAGGCGACCTTCACCAGACCACGACACGCACGCAACTGAAGTTTGAGGGAGTGGCGGAGGAGAGCCCATTGCGCAGGTCACACCCAACTCCCACTTCCTGCCTCTACATAGCCTCATGCTCTTATCAAAAACCAGGAATTGAAATCAGCCTTAGCAATCCGGTCGCAGTTCAGTTGCAGTTCTAGTTGGGATTTCTTTGTGATAGAAGCCGACAAGAGCACAGTGAAACTTCAGTCAGACTAAAGTCAGAGGAAATCAAAATCGAACTGTAACTGAACTGCCGTATAGATATCGACTCAGGGCTCTTTAAGGCGGCGCAGTACCCTCCCCGAAAAAAGGGCTATGGCCTCGGCGTTTCATAGATGTCGGGGAGTGTAACCCCGGCCCTCAGACTCGCCGGCTCTTGGGCCAAGGGCGAGGGCGAGGGGACGGCGTGCGAGGTCCTAGAAGCCTACCCTCTCACTCCTTCCCAGTGGCGTAGCCAGGTTTTCGTCAATGGAAAGTTGGGGGGGGGCTAACTTCGCCTTGTCAGGTTGGGGCGGACGCATTTCGACCAGAGTTGGGGGGGCTTGAACCAAACTTGGGGGGCTGAAGCC